TTTAATCGCCATTCATTTGCATAATTTCTCTGATCTTCTTTTCGCTAACATTGAAAAATACGAAAGTGACTTATAAGATATTCAAAAAAAGCTTTTAAATTGGAATTTATGCTCATATTTCAGTTTGTAGACGTATATTATCAAAAATTAATAATATCTATTGTCAAAAATATCATTATGATGATTTATACCCCACTTATTTGCATGATTTTTATATTTAAGTTCAGCGAACTACCTTTCGCTCACACTGAAAAATACGAAAATATTAAATATAGTATTTTAATTGAAATTTATAATAATTTTGCAGATTGTTGACGTATTTTTCATAAATGATTGATAAATTTTTCCCAAAATAATGATTATGATGATTCGATATCAAATTATGTGCATAATTTCTATACTGTATACAAGTTCAGAGATTTTCCTTTCGCTCACATAGAACAATACGAAAGTGACTTATTCGGACGACTGTGAGCGAGAGGAAATGAAAGTTCATGCAAAAATATAAAATTTGGCGTTTAAATTGAATTTGCAGTTTGAAGACGTATATTTTGAAAACTAAATTTGTTTTGGTTTTTTTTTTTTAATCGTTAAGATGATTTAATCTTCATTTATTTGCATAATGTTTATACATTTGTTGAGATATCTATCTTACTTTGACTGAAAACTTTAATCAAATCTACATCGTAAAGCATTCTCTGAATTTTGATATTTAGAGTAGTTTACAAAATATATAAAAATGAAAACACTTGACACTTGATTTTAGCAACTTGCACTAGCTCGGAAGAAGCGATAGAGCGATTTACCGTATGCCTCCTCTATCATTTACCAGGCGTGACATTAGATATGGCCCTTCCTTACTTTTTATACTGTATACATATTTCACAAGTTTTGTACCTTCAATTACTGACTTTAACAAAAATTCTATTGCCGGCGTATAAATATTTAACTTGTTATGATATTTCATTATAATAATTATTATTATTATACGATCAACATAACTAATGATTTTGTGCATTATCAGCTTTAGTTACTGACATATATTTATAGCCAGGTTAATAAACAGGACTGACTGTGCTATAGTCGACATGTTACATACATTGTCATAAATTCTTTATAAATTTGATAGACCACTTAAGCAGATGCAATGAATAAAATATAATAAAATATAAATGACGATAATTACCGGTTAAAAATGAGCTAGATTTTATTTGATCATATAATAAATGATGAGTATTGATGATTTTGTATTTTTTGCTTGACGTCTTGGATTTAAGTATGCAATGTTCTTACTTTTCCAAGTTTATTGAAATGTGAAAATTCGAATAATTTGTAAGACGTATGACCTTAAAATATGCATTAAGCAAAAATATTCTATATGTTTTAAACTATTAACTACTGTTAGATATTTCAGAAAGGGAAAATATGAAGAAAAGGTGTTTATTTGCTAAAATCATTTGTCATACCACTGATTATTTAAAATAGATGCATGTACTAATTGAAGTATCATAATCGAATTTGAAGATCAGGATTAGTCACCCAAGTATTTATTAATATCGTATGAAGATCATTTGTTAAACAATAGTATGTAGTACTCGTCGATATTTGTAACTGTAAGTTAAAACACCTGACTCTATACTATTTTTTACACAGTTAGAATTTATGATAATTATATTTAAGGGCGCATTACATAGTAGTGCAAACACTGCATACGGATGTTCTTAATTTATGAGCGGTTGATTTTACGCCACTGTAAAACATCATGTTATGCATTTTGAATTACCATAACACTCCTTGCCGGATACACTTTTACACACAATAATGATGTGGTTTATGAGTGTTTATACAACGTGCCTACGAAATGCATTGATGTTGTTGATCATGTTAGATTTATGTTCATGTTGATATTGTTTGTCTAAATATTATTATCAAGAAAGACACAAAATTAAAACATCAGCAATAAAACCGTCAGCAAAACCGATGAAGATTATTCTTTTTTCTTCTTGGTGTTAAGAATAACCCCGACGAATATAATATCAGAAGAAGACAATAAAAATATAGAAGAATGATAAAATTTGGTTCATTAAATGTATTGTTTTTGTCAGGTGTCTTTGATTTACAGACTTCATTTTAACTTGGGGACTGTACCCCGTTTTTCAGTGTGACCCTTCTATGGGTTCTACTCATCTGTGAATGTTTTTAAAAGCACAATTCTATCCCTTTCATGTTAAATATTGTATGTAACCTTAGCCGGTGCATGAGAGGTTGATTGACAGTAGCTTGCACATGGACGGACCAATCAAACCCTTATCGGGAAATTTCAGTTTTGCATCTTTGGACGTTCATCCAGACTTTTTTTAATTGTTCCATTGTACAATGTATAAGAACGGAAGAAAACAAGGGCACCAGTAGTTTTGATCTTAATGTAGATAATAGTTCTAAACATTACTATTAAAATAATTTATCTGAATTAAGGAAAACAATGCAGGTGAAAACTTCAAGTTTTGGAATATCGACAGTTTTTTTTTGGACACTACTAAAATATAAAAAAACAAGGTTAACAAGAAAGGGTGGCTTTCAATGAACGCATCTCTAATCACGTCTTAGCAACAAAGGACATCGGCAAGGTGCCCAACAAGACACCAAACAACAGGAGAGGGGCACATGGACAAAGTACGGACGGACTGTGTTACGTGCCAAGTGTAACTAGATGGATAGGAAACCAAAACCAGCAACAAGCTCTTTTAAACGTAACAAAATTTATTTACATGAAACAATTAAAAGATATTAAGTCAACAGTACAATTCACATTAAAAGTCGAAATTGTCCCTCAGAATTAAAGAATAATATTCTGATCCCAGAAAATAAAATTAATTTATGAGCACTTAGTCGAAATCCATCCAAGAATAAATATCGCAGCTTAAATTCCAGCATAAAAGTTTTTATTTAATAAATGGTGAGAGTTTTCCAAAGATGCCCTTTACAAATTTCAGCTATATATATTCTATCTAGGAATGTTCATTAATAACCAAGATATAAGACTTTTCCAGAAAGTAATCAACTATGATATCATTTTGCACTTGACAGTACCGTCCATGAACAGGTTCAATCAAACCGAGCCTGCAACATTTTCAATTTTGCCGTGTTGGGCTTTCTTTGGGAATTATATTTCTCTCCATTCTTAAAATAACCAAAATGTTTGCAACTTTTCCGGAAGGTTCTAAAGCACAAAGTAAACAACTTGTTTATGTCCAATATCTGGGGCAATCAGAAACCTAACCAGATGACCATTACAAAAGTACTTGTTGTCTGAAAGGTAGGCAGAGCAGCAAGATCACCTAGAAGCAGAAGACGAAAATTAAGACAACTCAGTCTAATTGGGTTTAAGAACTATGCGTCACTGAGTCTTCCACTTGGTCAGTCAGATGTAATAAAAAGAGGAAAGAGTAGTGTCCAACTGTGAAATGGTTGAACACTAAGCATATGTTTGTCTTAAAAACGTAGGAACATAACTTTTTTGTGAAGCGTAAAAAGCAGCATAAAATTATTACAATGACCAAAGATTTCTATAGAAAATCAGACTAGCTACTCCCTAGTCGAAGAGGAATGTTCAAATCAGTATTGAATTTTGAAATTTTAACGAAATTACGATTATGAAATTAATGAAATATTTCCGTAATTTATGATAGCGGTGGCTCTATTCTAATGAAAATATTCCGTTCATTAAAATTGTTTACATGGCAACAAGCTCTAGCAAATATAAAAAGCTGAGATACATATACAACGTATGGTAGGTACATCTTCATCTTATTGTGTATTAAAAACCATGTCAATTGATTGTAAAAATCTGAAAACAAAGTTGCCCCTCGGAAGCATAAATCACAACAAAATTACATGAAAATTGCAGACTCGGTTTGACTGAGTGATAATGAGTGCAACATCTCTCACGTCACGCCCCCTAGCACCGGCTTGAGCGCTACTCAATTCACAACACTTAATGGTGCTGGCATCTATGATCCCGAAGGACCAGAAAAATATAACACGAAAACTAAAACACAAACAAACAAACAACAAAAAACGGAAAGAACAAAAAAATAATTTTTGTGGGTCTTTTGGTTTGTTTGCCTACATATAAGGATTGAATGAAATGATATTGTACTGAGTATTTGAAACATTGTTTACTTACTTCACCATATCTGTACAGACGAACCTGTGCATAAATAAAGCTTGAATTTGTCTCAACGCTCAATATGTATTTCTCCCATTTCTTATGACAACGTGCAAAACCAACATTCACAGTTGCATATCTATAGTAGTTTCTGAAACCGCTTGAAGTAAATTTATGATACTATAATTAGGAGAGCGAGCACAACCCACATTTTGGAACGCTTTTTTAAAGTGTCATTTTAGTTTCTATAAACGAATTTATTTTCGGGTGTATATTGTCCCGCATATATAGCGCTATGTTAGAAACTAGAAACCTCTCTTAGCATTCTGAATCCTTCTTGACATGAATCTATTTTTACACATATGAAAATAGTTATATAATATGTATTTAATGTGCCTCATAGTAATTATAGTTATATTTGTATTGAATATGCCTCAAAGTGTTGACAATTTGAGTACAATTTAACTAAAACTTTTTATTATAAATGATAATTGGAAAATAAATAAGGATTGATTTAAAAACGGAATTCTTACCGCGGACGACCAATCAAACGTAGGGGCATACCTAACGTCATTATGTAAATCATTTAACAGTAAACAAAAACCTCAATGTGAATATACTAGGACGTGAAAATAAACAATAATATAAAAAACGGAATTTAATTAATTGAACGACGTTGCAGAATTATTTGATATCATTTGATTACGTGACAAATATCGTCTTCTCGCGTTGTGCGTTTGCGTAATTAGTACGAAATAACTTAAAAACTTCATGGTTTACGACTTCAAGGGTTTGTCAAATGAAATATATAAGGCAGTCTTTATGCAGATATTATTTAAAGAACTCTGTACGTTCGAGCTATTCGAGATATTTTAAAAAAATCACACAATCATGATTTCATGTTGTTATAAAGTGATTTTGTTTTTCTTATGTCTTATGATTACTGAGACTTGGTCATTTTGGAATACCTCATCAAAAGTAGATTGTAGTGTGACGCCATGGTCTCCGTGGAGTTCAGTGAACGGACAGCAGACGAGAATGAGGCGAATAATGCGTCATTCTCAAAATGGCGGAGAGCCATGTCCGTCAGTTTCGGAGACAAAAGGTACCATATTCTCAGATCAGATATGTTGTTTATTTTATTCTGTTAGATGTATGTTGTCTAGCTTAAAAAATCTACGAGTACAAGATTTTAAATGCAGCTTATTGTTATGTTGCTCTTTTTATTTGATAGAAACATTATTTTAATCAAGAAGAACAAATACTAGTTTTAGTTTTATGTTCTGATGTTAGTGACGTTTAAATAATTTATTTTGTTAACATTTTCACTTAAACGATTTACTTAACTATTGCCCAAAGTTGCATCGATATAATTGTATTAACTTCAGTGTTTAGTAAACGATCTTAGTATGTATAAAAAGATTGTACTATTCTTTTGAATATATAGTCACGATAGTATACTTAACCGTGAAAACACTGCTCTTACGTTACAAATAAGTCTCACGTCGTAAATTATAATAGATATCACATTTTAATTCTTATTGAAATTTTTTTTGCATACATGTTGTATATTATGATTAAAAAATCAAAATCAATTTCGCCATTTTTTAATTTTGATATACTGCTATCACATATTTTTTATTAATTATAAATAGATGAAAATATATTTGGTAATTTCACAAAAAAAAATCAACAACAAAACACCTTTGTTGTACTTAAAAAAAAAATTTACAGCTATAGATATGTCGCAAATTCATACTTTCTGATACATGGTTGCGATATTACAATTATGATATTGATACATATATAAAAATTCCCATTAGAATTAATTAACATATTTTTGTTCATTCTCTTTGATCAGGATATGGACTCTATGCAACAGTTGCATGCCAGTGACCGGCAAATAATAAGAAATCTTTCGACATGTAAAACTGTTCTTGAATACATAAGGGTATATAACTATGTACTCTTCGAGCAGTATCTGTAACGAATTTGGTAAAATGAATGTCAGAGATAAACCCATGAGCCACCTTCATCATTTCATAGTCTTTTTTTTTAAAAGAATACCTCCCACAAACACACACACAAAAGAGAAAAAAGTCCTGTCAGAAAAAGAAACGTTATTTATGAAAAAATCAATTAAAGCAAATCTTGGTCTAGTTTGATATCTGTAACTTACCTTTTCTTATTGCAATGAAAATGTCACACGTCCTTAAAATATGTAGATTGTTATTATCTAACCATTTTCTTTGTCGAAATATCAGGATATCTTTTTTAATATGGTAATGATATGTAAAAGCTGACTAAGTTCATGACAATATTCTCGAATTCAGATCCAAATTCGGATTGTACAGTTTCATCTTGGTCGACGTGGAGTGCAGTCTTTGGGTTTGGACAACAATCACGTGTCAGAACTGTTATAACACAACCTACTGGAACCGGAAAGCAGTGCCCAGTTCTTGAAGAAATCAGATACACTGGTAAGTTTAAATGAATAGCATGTTTAGTAGTGTGTCACATTGTAGCATTGTACCACATTATAAATGCTTAAAGACAGATCCTTTAGTAGTGTGTCACATAGTAGCATTGTACCACATTATAGATGCTTAAAGACAGATCCTTTAGTAGTGTGTCACATTGTAGCATTGTACCACATTATAAATGCTTAAAGACAGATCCTTTAGAAGTGTGTCACATTGTAGCATTGTACCACATTATAAATGCTTGAAGACAGATCCTTTTGGTAACAAAAGAAACAAATATCAAAAAAGACAATCGAAATGAGAATTTGGTTTCTTATAAACAAACTATAGTACATCTGCATGTGAGTAAACATTTCATGTAATAAAAAAAATATTCCTATATGTCCAAAACTTTCACTTCATTAATTATGATCGTCTTTATTTAGCATTTTTAACAGAATACATGATGATCTTAAAAGAAGAAGTCGAGATTTCGGCAAAATAAAAAAATGCTATCTTGCACTGCTTTAAAAAAGATTTGAAATTGATTGCTAACCAATCCAATGGCTTTGTACAAATGAGGAGGTTGGCTTTACTCAATACTGTCAGTTTAGTCATAGTGTGTCGGTATAGTGAGTTTTATTTAGAGTATGTTAGAAAGATAAATGTTAGATTGAACATATTCTATTTTTATTTCAGGTAAAATACCAAGTGTTAATGTGACAGCAAAAAATGTTCAAAACTTCTTTGCCCGACCAAGCGGAAAAGTTTTAAGTCAAACAATAAAATCATCTCAAATTCAGAGTCAGGATTTATCAAGAGATTTAGTGATCATTATGGACAGTTCTGGTAGCATTGGTAGCAATGGGTTCCAAGTGGCAAAAGAGCAAACTGCCAAACTTATGGGTCTATTATGTCCTACCGCCCCGTTTGATAAGATTGCCGGGTCCCCCTATCAATATAACCAAGCCGCCATGTTGACATATTCAACGAATGTGGTTGAAAACTTTGATTTCAATAGATACAGTACCACTGTCAATATTCAGAATGCCATCAAACGTGTCAGATATGCAGGAGGGGGTACAAGTACCAACAAAGCGTTTGATCAAGCAAGGGGCCTTTTTCAGCCGAACAAAGGTACTTTAATTTTCTAACTATTACAATACTCACATAATTTTATGGTGTATACTTTGAATGTTTATCAATGAAATCAATTTGGAGTGTGTAAACTTTAAGACGGTTTGAAATTTAAATAAACTGTTATATACATGTAATCAAAAATATTATTGGCATGTGTGAATGGTATTTTGAGATTCAAAAACTTTTATAACGAATTACATGTTTATACTAATCCTAAAACATGTAATATCATATGGTGCCGCAATAAGAAAATATTCTCGTCTTTTACACTCATAGAAACGTAATTTATGGAAATATGTTGAACTTCACGAGTAGCTATACTTGATGTTATTGCCGTATCTTGCGTCTTTTGCCGCGATGTCTACTTCCCTTTCTTAACGCATTGCATATAATCCTATAATAGCTTATAGCTTATATAATAGCTTATACTCTTTTACTTAAACATGATTCTAACAATGTAAGAACATATGTCGTCATATTTGCTTGTTACAATTGTTTTATTTTGGTTATCTCCTAATTTAATTAATAGTAGAGGCAGTAGTAGTATCGGTAAGATAAATTCCAATTTTGTTTTTGTTTCTTTTTTCAGGTGTAAGAGATGCAGCACGTGCTAAACGCGAGGTACTTATTCTGACTGACGGAAGATCAAACAGTCAATCACAAACTCTGGCTGCGGTTAGAAAACTTAAATTAGAGGCGGATGTATACGGTCTAATGATAGGAAGCTTTTCAACCAGTGGAATGAATGAACTCACACAATACGTCTCTTCACCAATTAACGAACATTTGTTTTGCATTGAGAATTTCCAACAACTGAAAGATTTATTAGCACTCATTGAAGACACAAAGAAGAAAGCCGGTGTAGATTGGTGTGCACCTTTTAATTAGTAGAATACGATGACATTTATAGCATCTCGCCTTATTCTAATAGATTTATTCTAATATTCATGAAATGTTTGAGGTCATCCAATGAGTGTAGGTTCAATACAGAATTCATTGAACAAGTTAAATGAAATTATATAAATCATTCAATGTACCTACACGAATATTATATTCTTTCAAGCGTACATGTATATCTTTTAGAAGATCTGTTTAAACTGTTTATATATTTTTTGCATCGACGCGCGTATAGTGTAAGGGAGTTGTTAAAGTTGCACGGAATAGTAAAAAAATTTTTTTTTAATGTCAAGTTAACACATAAAGTAATTGAATTAATTTGTGACTGTTATTAGAGCATCCGCTTCCACCTTTCTTTGACACTGTGTCCTCTTTCGTTTTTAGTGTGTTCCGCGCTGGATACCCTTCCAGTGTGGCTAGGTTATGATGGCGCTGCGTTCTTTGAACGCCGCCAGGCTATGTGGATCCTTATTTACATTTTTAGGCATTTATATATTTCTCAATTTATAATTACTTTTTGTTTTTAAACTTTGATCGTTCATGAGATGATTTGCAATTTTATTATGAAAAAAAAAATAGTTAAAAATAATGCTCTTAATCTTAAGTAGCCATAATTAGACTTGGTTTACATATCAATCCTCTTGCAAAATCAATAATTTCTATATTATCAAGTTGATAAAAAGTAATGCTTTGATTGACTTTCAAGTTTATTTTAGCGAACCAGCAAAATGTTTACTCACCATCTTTGGGCATTAATATTAAATTTTGAAGAAATATATGCAATAATAGTACATGACTCAATCAAACTAACATATCAACAAGAAAATGTGAAACATTAAGTATATAAGTCGATTGATGTTTCTCAAAATGCTTCATGTATCATATTACACTAACATCTATTAAAATTTGATATTTTATTGTACAAATTGTTTTTATCTTTTCTTCCTTTTCAATTGCAAAAATATGACTTCGCAAATGCAAACAGTCATGCCTTTGAGTTTGATTGTTATAATTTATTGCCTGAGAACAAGGAGAAAATATTGAGAAAAAAAAGAAACAAAAAACAAAAAAAAACACGTGAAAGCAAAGATATAAAGAAATATTTTAAGTGTATTCTTTATAAATCATAAAACTCTTAATTTTAAGTTTTGATATCCGCAAAGAATTGCACGTTGTCAACTTATCAGTTTACTTTGCCCAAGCTATGCGTAAAATTTTAATTTTTTATTTCTCTAAGGTTGTATATTTTTATGTACTTGAATTCTTCAAACAGGTAATCACTGGTCAATTACCTGAACAATATACTTTCTCCTGTTCCTGTTTGGTACGGGATTAGTATTTTGTATGGAAGTCAAAATACTATTTTTCTACTTACTTCTTTAATAGATAATTTAATATTTTAGCTATTTCCTTTACGTTAAAAGCAACTAACGTTCGTTCCTAGTGATCAGACAGGTAAAACATAAATTCGATTGGATCAAAGGGTATGTCCTGCCTATGCCTCATGGATGTTTACAGAACTATAAATGTGTCGTTACGCCGCGAATGCCCCCGCATAGAGCCACAATTTAAAATGTTATAAAAATACTAAGTTCATGCTACCTTTGTTAAAATTATGCCCTTTAAGATGTAAAGGTATAAATTATAAACGAGGCTGAGTTCGTTCAATACTTTTAATTGAAATGTCCATCAGTGCATGATCTCAGTATATAATAAGCTACAAGTAGATTTAACCCATGAGGTTAAAGTCACATCACAACTTCAAGCACTTGTTTAAGCACCAATCAATAATGAAATCAATATCAAGAAGATCAAGCCATGAAACAAACAAATATAGCAATACTAAATACATGTAAATACTGAGATCATCAACACAACACAATATATACAATTTAAATCATAGCATGATTAGAACAGACATCTCACATCAAATAGCCAATATAACAGTCATTTAACCATTGTATCAATTAATTACTTCTAAATTAATGAATGAACATTCCAAATACAGTTTTCTGCATTATATTCAATATTTAATAATTTAATCCAGTGGCCTATTAAATGAATATATTAAACTTATAAAATAGTAAAAACAATAAAATGACATGTACAATTTTTACCAATTGTGGATTGTACTCAAATGACACTCATTCAAAAATACTCTCAGTCTTGTGGTATTACTGCAACATACTGTTATTAAACTTGTTCACAATAGAGAATGACAGTGATTTATATTTATTACTGCAAATAGATATTAACTTTAAATATGCTGCCATTATCAGATGCATTGTAAACAAGTCATGTACAATATACATGAATATCTTATTTTAACAAATTTCAGACACACAGCTCATTTGTAACTCACTTAAACAAAGTAAGCAACCAATATAGAACTTCACTAGCCTCAATCCAAAATCCACAATCCTTTTTAAGAATTAATAATCAACTTTATTGTTATAGACAACTGAAAAACATGTCTGCCTTCTACAAAAAACTCATGACAACTCAGAAAACGGCAGGAACAATTACACGCATGACTAACTAATACAACAGCCAAGGGAAATCACCCCTACAGATTTCAATCAATAAACTTCAACTGATTATTTTCTCTTTGGTAACACACTCCCTTGCTTTGAAAAAATAACGTTCCGTCATTGTCATGTCAAATAGTCATGTCAAATAGTCTGTCATTTGAAATATATTTAGCAACACTTCATGGAAGCAAACATTCCCCTTTTAATATATTCAGTTTTAAAGGTTATCCCACAATTAAGAACGAAATGTTTGTCTTTCCACAAAATAACTACATTATATCGTTGTTACAGCATGAAAAATACAATGCTGTCCTTTTAAACAATATACATTTAAATACATGTACAAAAAAAAAATTGTTTTAATTTAAGGCATATAAAATCAATATGTTTGCATAGTGTCTCAAAACGACATAAATTTCTCTCGCAAATATCGCGAACAACGTGCTAGCATGTAACGGTATGAATAAAAACGATTTCAAAGCATCAAAATGTCGCTTATAACTATAAATAATTATACTTATTGCAAAAACATACGTGCCATGTCGCGAATTATGACCAATAACCATATTTTTTATGCGAAAAAAAATAAAAAAATAAACAACAACATATGCGCAACTTCTATCTTCTCGCCCCATCTTTTGAACAGATGCGTCCTCGCAATAAATCAACATTAAAAACATATCAAAACACATTTAATTACATCAAATTTGTATTTATTGTTAGAGTAGAATACAATTTCCAATTCAATATCATTTCAATATAGCATTTATTTCATTATAGCATCAACAATTTTTCTTGCAGTATCCATTTCTGTATTCTTCAACACACCTGAGTTAGTCATGGATTCCAATGCCTGTAATCTGTGATCATATGGTCTACTATTGATAATGCTATACATGTGATAATTTTTGTATCTGTCAGGCATTCTCTTTGTTCTCTCTCATTTTCTAGATGGTTGTTGTGGTAGTTGTCGCTTTCTTTCCTTCACTCCAATTCCTTCTGTCTCCTGTTTCTTTACTTTATCTCCATCTTTCTTTTGCAATGTCCAATCTTCCCTACTTGTATCTTCTGTGATTGTAGTATCTGTATTACTGTCAGCTAAACTTTCTTGAATGGTGGTGTCATCTTGTGTCTCTGGTACACGACTGTTACATCTGATTCCTTTTGACCTTCTATTAAGTAAAGGTCTTCTAAATGATCAGTTTGAACATATGTTTCTTCTTCTATCTTCTCATCTTCAACCGCTGATTCTGCTGCTTAGATTCTATTGAGTCTGATATTACTGCAAGTTCCTCTATTTCTTGTACTGTGTCTTTTTTTACACCTGCTTTTTCAACATTTGTATCAACTAAAAAACTTCTGTTGCTACTTCAGGTTCTTTCTCACTTTCGGGATGATAACATCTTGACTGAAAGGCTTCCCCATCTATTTTTGTTTGTGAAACAAATATATCGTCAATTTCATTATCTGAATTTTTTGAGTCTGTGACGTCACATCTTTTCTTTCCGGATTCATACCCTTCATTTCTATCTTTCTCCTCTGCATATTCTTTCTTTTGTGTATCATTCACTTCTTCTATGTTTTCATTTGCTTCTTCTTGCTATTCAACCGGAATAGATGATTTCTGTGTAGTGTGCGTTCTTTACCGTTGTTTGATTTGACTAAATACACTGAATTGATTTTTCTTGGTTGATCACTGACTTAATAAATGTCTTCTTCGAACTTGTCAGCTAACTTGTGTTTTCTTTCTTTATGAGCAAAAATCTTTACTTAAACAAAATCCCTTATCTCTATCTTTGCACCTCTTACTTTCCTGTCATAGAATTTCTTCTGTTTCGCTTTTACCAAGTCCATGTGTTTCTGTACAATCTCCTAACTTCTATTTAGTTTTTCTTTTAAATCTTCTATATATTCCTAAGTTGTTTTCTTGATAGTTGTATTTAGCTTGTTCAAAAGTTATATCAACGGGAAGCTCATATGGTAATATTTTGGTTGTCTCATGTGGAATACAGGTGTATGCGAATACTAGTGAGTTGACGTACCTCTTCCAATCGCTTTTCTGTGAGATTTCGAGAGTCTCTAGTATATCCAAAAGCGTTCTATTGAACCGCCGCGCAGGTCCCGAATTACCTTGTGGGTGGTTAATTGAAGTATAAGATTTCTTAATGTTGGTGCTTTCACAAAGTTCTTTGATAAGTTGAGATTCAAAGTTAGACCCTTGATCAGAATGTAGCCTCGTTGGAATTCCGTAATGAATGATGAAGTGATTGTAGAAAGTTCCAGCAGTTGCTTTGGTAGTCTGAATCATAGTTGGAATAGCTAATGCAACTTTAACATAACAAGTATGTTTCCATATCCACCTTTTGATGATTCCATTGTATGATATATATAGTGAAAGCAAACTTATTCCAGTGGATAGGTTGTATGAACATTAACAAGTGGAGCTGTTGTGTTGGTTTGACTCTTTCTACTCAGGCATCTGTCAGATTTTGAAACAAAACTATCAATATATGCTGACATTCCAGTCCAGTAAAATCTTTCTTGGATGAATCTTCTGGTTCTTTCTTTTCCTGGATGTCCTACGTTAGTATGTAATCCGTGTTAAATTTCTTCTTTATAAACATCTGGAATGCATAGTTGCCTTCTTAAAAAACACATTACAGCTCAGAAAACGGCAGGAAACAATTACACGCATGACTAACTAATACAAAAGCCAAAGGAAATTACCCCTACAGATTTCAAACAATAAACTACAACTGATTATTCACCCATTTTTTTCATTCTTAAACTATTCAATGTTTAAACGCAAACCATTTTATACTAAGTTGAAAGCCCTGACACGTTACAGTGTTAACAACCTTCTGCAAATTGTATATTGCATATTTTCTAACCGAGATCATGATAAGAAATTGGGAATTTTCAATTATTTTCCAAGATCAAAGTGGATAACTGTCAAAAACATCTAACCATGACCAATTAGAACTTGACTTGAGGATCGTATGGGGGTTGCGTTCATTGAACGCTGCCTTCCTTGTTGATCTTGTTTATTATTTTTTGTATTTTCTGGTAAAATATCAGCAGATGCAATGTCACGCTCGGACATACAAACCTACAAGAGTTAGAGAAGAAACTGAAATTTCTTCTTTTTCTTAAGTTCAAAAATGATAATTCTGTCAAAAACATCGGATCAAAATAAAATTCGAACTTGATTTGTTTTTTCATGGTTAAATACCTGCACATGCGAGTCCAAACCTATACATACATTTTCACAAAAATAAGAGTGCGGAAACTGAAATTTCATTTTTTTTTCAAAGATCAAGAAAGATTACTTTGTCCAAGATAATTGAACCATGAACAAATTCAAACTTGACCTGCTTATTCCTAAGATGTATCTTTATGACAAATCTGAGATGAGTAAGTACAACTGTTGGGAAACTAAAAAATCCAAAAAAAAATATCTTTTTTTGTAAAGTTCAAGAGGAATAACTCTCTCAAAAATCATCAAACCAAGCCCAAATTCGAACTTGTTCTGCATTTTCCTATGATTTATCCAAAATGTCAAAATTGACAACCGTTTCCATTTCTTGTTTTTCAAGTTCAATGGATATATAAGTTATGTTGCTATAACTACAGTTTTAAACGTTGCTTCATGCGAATCGAAAAAATAGCTATAAATATATATAGCATTCTTGTACGGAATAACAGTAAATAAATGAGTTTAGCCGTTTATTTAAGTCGTATCTCATAATTTGGTTGGGTACAAAATATATTGTTCCGTTTACGTACAGTGGGCGTTACCGTCATAAATTTGCGCAATTTGGCGTGACATTTAGCACAATTTATGCGTTACTTGAATAATTCTGCGTTTCTAAACGATAACGATTAACCATGTATATACATATGTACGTTCGGTAGTAATTTATCGCTTCAACTCACAAAACTAGACTTTAACAATATATAATAAAAACATTTAAGAATATTTTAAGGTATACTACGAGTTTGCTCAAATTTGATGTAAGAAAATATTGAATATTGCTACACAGTCTCTTTGTCAATGTAAAATATACATGAATTGACCTCACACATGTTTAAAATTATATACACTATATGTTGTCGCAATATGAATATATATTGCCATTAAAAATGGCAGACTTTTAGGTAAAGTACTACTTTACATGACCTTGGGTACGTATCTTTATTCAAATTAGACATATTCAGTTGGAATTTCACATAGTTTAATAAATTTCTGTGATTAAAATATTCTTCTTAAGGATGAGCATAGAATATATCTTTAAATAATAGCCTTTGTCTTGTATAACAAATATTAACCTTGAATCATCTTTGTACTTTATCATTTTTTCATGTTCATATTGTGTTGATAGTGATATTTGTATCTAATAAAGAAATGACTTATTTTTTCTATTCGAAATTATAGATTTTTACATATCATATGTTTAGAATATTACGTGTATACATTTATGTAAATACAACTCAATTGCACTAACGTAGCCTTCGTGGAAATTGCCCGACTATCTACGTCATGGTTTCATTATCAAATGTAAAAATGAATTGAAAACTTTAATTTTATTAAAACTTTTATCTTTAAGATAAAACGTTTCGACCCGATATTGTCTGTTTATAAATAAAAAAAACTGAGATAATTTATTTCAATACCTTCAATAGAATCAAGTAGATTGTTATTTAAGAAAATTAAAAAAAAACTCACTTGAAAAACACAATATCATTGTTTACATTCAAGTGGTTATACGAGTACATGTTTAATAAATTTCGATTTTCAAAGTGTATTTAAACACCTTCAAATATTTTTGAGAAAGGGGAAGTAGTCTCAAAATGAAACGATTGGCTGTTAAAGAATCCAATCAAATTAGATATGAGCGTAACAAGTTCGTGACAAATCACTAGTTCATTCCGCTTTTTTAACTCTGTCACAGATAAAAGATTTGTACCTCAGCTGAGGACACTTCTAGAATCGTTATTTGTCAGCAGTCTGTTCACCATTGTTTCAAATGACATCTCCTCTGTACCACTCGGCAAAATTTTATAAAACATCCTTGGCATATTCTTTGCATTGAGCTCTACCACATATGTTCAACTGATTATGGTCCATTGCCATATCTGGGTAACATATTTAAAACTTCAAGCTTTGTCCTCTCCGAAAGCGTAGATTATAAGCTTACACTTTTACTTTTTTCATCTCCATGTTCATCTGTATCATTTTTTTTCTTTTAACATTACCCTGTTATCAAAATTAGTTGCTTGATTAACAAAGTCTGATATCAGGAAAATATCATTTTCACAACACGCTCAATGACTAAGCATAGTTATTTGATATATAACATTATAAAGTAAACCTCTACCAAACTTGGTTAAAACCTCAACTCGCCCCAGGAGTCACTTGACTTTACATTGTCTTCTATACATTTGCAAACCTTTAAAATGCATCCAAATGAGCCAAAATACTTTTTTTTTAAAAATCTAGCTTATAATGTTATATTTCATATTTTAAGAAAAAGTGAAACGTTTCAAAGTTCGAGTAATGATTAACATGGTATATATTGGCTTACATATTTCAAAGTGTAGCATTATCGTCTGGTAATCGACAAAGTATTTTTCTTCAAATCATCATCCTCAATACACTTTATTCTACGTAGAAACATAAAGTATCATGCTAAAAATCTTCTACTTTATAAGTGCAAAGTCTAGAACAAATATACATATATAGTGTATAATAGCATAATTGACGGAACTTAAAAGTCACGACCTTAGAATCAAATTTTGACTCGTTCCCGGTTGACACTTGCGTCTTGTGAACGTTACCTTTGCCTTTTTGATCTTTATTCTCGTTTGTTTTCATAGAATATAGGAAACATTTAAAATCAAATCTTCGTCTGCTAAACTTCAAGTAACTAAGATATTATTTAGTTCTATTTAGCTTTATCGAGGGGCAGTGAGTTTTCGTTGAATTATTGACACTTCTCCTTTCGTTTAATATATTAAAATTTTATTTATTCTGTTTTTTAACAGTGTTCCACAGTATTGACCAAGCAACAAGAGCACCTATCCCCATTTACTAACCCTATTCAATCTTACATCCATTTTAGGACGATTGCAATATATAAAACTTACCTCTTAAATATATTTGGACCTGGCTAATTCGCTGTTTAGTCTCTGTTACTAACCATTTGAAGAATATTCATGAAATTTGGGTCAGATGACGTGAAAAACCTTCAACCATTTTAATGCCATAGTCATAGAAACATGTAAGAGTCATATAAATGACAATTTAGGCAATTATTTTTTCATGTATTTAATTGTTTAATTAATTCAAGCTAATTTAGTGTTTAAGATTGAATACCGCTAAAGCCGGCGTAAGAAAACAAGAGGAATGATGCACTTTTCTTTTGTACCCAATTAACAGACTTAATCCAACCGAGTCTTCAACTTTCATGATATTTTTATGTCGAACACGCGTACGAGACTGCATAAAGACACAGTAAGAACATGACACCACTATAAAGTTGATCATGTATACTTGTTTTGGGTGATACATTTCGGACCAAAATCATGTACATGCAATCGTTGAAGATTTATGCAATTTTGCAATTCATGCCTCGCTCATGTTTTTGTTTACACAGTGATTACGAACGATTTCAAGTACTTCCTTTATTCCGTCACTATTACTGGTCAGGGCATGTAAATTGTGTACTATATAAAGCAACCTTCATAAGCTCCGTTAGTTGAATTTTGTGAAACATTGTGAAAATCAAGTAAAAATGATTTCAATCTGTTTTGAAAATGTGCTGTTTCTTTCCTTGTGTCTATCGATTGCTGAAGCTTCGTCATTTTGGGGAACATCTTCGAAGGTAGATTGTAGTGTGACGCTATGGTCTACCTGGAGTTCAGCTAACAGTGTCGGACAGCAGACGAGAATAAGGCGAGTAATGCGTTACCCCCAAAATGGCGGAAAGGAATGTCCGTCCCTTTCAGAAACCAGAGGTACCGATTCTTTCAATTTTTCTATATTCAACAATTTACTTGTGTCAAATGTGTGGCATAGTTTCTAAACATAAATTTTGCTATTTACGATAATTCTCATGAATGTAGATTATCAGCTTTTCCTGTCTATATTTTGATAAAGGCTAAAAGAGAACTTAAATAAAAAAAACCTACCTATTTGACAGATAAATACAGGTTTGGACTTTATTAACGTTAAAATCTTTATTTATATTATATGGAAGTATTTAAGTAATATTCACAAGAACACTTCATCTGACTTTGACAACTTACCGTAAATTTTAAGACTATTGTTTTGTAAAATATACCGAGGAAATCTCTACCGAGGACGGTTAGTTTGTTTTTTTCTTTTTGTTCTTTAATTAATGTTTAAGATATTGATAAAATCAGAAAAGAAGAGAATATTTTACTTTTTTACAAACATTTTTATACATGTTTAACAAGTTTTAAGATCAAGTAAATTAATAAGAGAAATATGCATGTTATTCAGTATAGTTTTACCTGCAGCGAAACATATTTTTATATTCGTTAATTAGTTTGTTTCAGTTTTTAAATCTTTTTATTTTGTTTCAATTATTCATAACATATCTGTGTCGAAATACGAACAATATTTTTTGAAGAAATTCACACATACTGTGTATATTCAGCAATTGTTTAAACTACACATATCCATGGTTCAGTATATTCAAGAATTAATATGTTTTTTATAAAAAAAATTCTCTCTCTCTCGAAGAAAAAAAATGCCGAGCTATTATTATTGCTGCGTCGTCGTTGCTATCGTTAGTGTCGTCTATTTTATGTTGTTTTTTTTTTGTGTGTGTCTAAATTTGGTTATTCGTAGTTATTTCCCTAACAGACGGGTTTTAACATCGCATGGGTTGATCTTGTCTTGAAGATATGTTACCTTTTAGATTTGGTAATCAAATAAAGCATAATAATTAATATTTTTTCTAAATTTTGTCTACATTTCGGCAAAGATTTTTCATTTAGTAGAGATGAAGAAACGCAAGTGACTATAATTGTTTATTTGAGTGTAGTAGATTCAGCGGATTGTACAGTTACACCTTGGTCAACATGGAGCGCAAACTTTGGGTTTGGACAACAATCACGAGTGAGAACCGTCATAACACAACCTATTGGATCAGGGAAACAATGCCCAACCCTTGAGGAAATCCGATACACTGGTAAGTGTGATACGTATATAGGCCAATAATAATCACGAGAAGATGCCATTCTTTTTTAAGCAAATAGTTTTAATCTCAGCAAGTACAAATCTATTGCACCATTTATAGATGCTTTAGTTTTAGTATGCACACGAATTGTATCCTCATGCAGCGACTAAGTCAGTGTTTGAATCATTTAAAAAGAGTATAAATTGAGAAATTGTTTAAATTTACGAAGAAATTGAAATGACCGTCTCACATCAATTGACAGCTTTGCTGTACAAATTACAAAAGAGATATCTATCAAGACCAATGTAGCATACTATGTGAAAGTTGCAGGCTCAGAGAAATAAGTATAAAAGACCATATGGTCCTTTTACGGTCCTAAGCAGTTATTAAACTTTATGTAGAGGTTCATAATATCTATCTTCATTAATAAATGTTATATAAAAGGAAACAGGAATTATATTTTGACAAAATATTTAGAGTTAAAATCAAACCAGTGATTGGGGCATGGGCGGTAGCTTGCACATTCCAAAACCGTCAATGAACAGACTCAATCCAGCCTGCAAAATTTTAAGTTTAGCCGTTTTAGGCGTTCTTTATGGTTTAAGTTGTCTCTTTCTATTTGAGTTTAATGACCAAATCATGTTAATAAATAGCATAGTTTATTTCAAGTATACCACTTTTTTGAAGACAATTAACTGCCGATTTATTAACTGCCGATTTATAGTGCTCATGAATAAACTTTGTTGAACACTTTTATATGATTTCAAAAGTCATATACATTATGATGCAATAAATAAAAAAATATTATCTTGATGTGACGTATATCCATTTTATAAAATGCAACAAAAACATACTACAATATTTAAAGTGCACATCTTTAAAGAAAATTTAGATTTAACAACTTACCAATAGACTCTTATACTATATACTAAAGGCAAAGCGTACATCTGACAGTGAGGTTTATGATACGAAAGTAAAACAAGAAAGGTGGACGACATATTTCGTATATTTTCTTTTTATATCCAGGTAGATATCTAGGTGTTAATGAAACGGGAAAAAATTTCCAAGACTTCTTTGTGCGACCTAATGGGCAACATGTAACAAAGGGAAAACGATCAACCCAAACTCCAAACTTACCAAGGGATTTAGTGATCATTATGGACAGTTCAGGAAGTATTGGCAGGGTGGATTTTGAAGTTGCAAAAGAGCAAACCGCCAAACTTATTGCTCTGTTATGTCCTAATGCCCCGTTTAATAAGATTGCCGGGTCACCCTATCAATATAACCAAGCCGCTATGTTGACATACTCAACGTATGTGGTTGAAAACTTTGATTTCAATACATATAATACCACAGCCAGCATTCAGAATGCCATTAACAGTGTCAGATATGTAGGAAGGGGTACAAACACCAACAAAGCGTTTGATCAAGCAAGGGGCCTTCTCCAGCCGAGTAAAGGTACTGTATAAGACAATCTTCAAATGTTTGGATTATTGAAATGAAACGATAGATATGCCATATTTAGTCATGTTTTGAAACTGATGTCGATGTGCATTGTCGTTTGATATTGCACGAATCAATAAAAAAATCATTCCAATCTGAGGTCTGGCTCAACTTCACATTTAATATACCACAATTAATACTGTACTTTCACGAGAAATTGATGTCTGGGGATAGTTTTTTTTTATCAAGTTAGATAAAGAATTAGTGCAAGTGGTAAAGAAATAAAACAAATATAGCAGTTCTTGAAACACAGAAGTCAATATTGTAGTTTATATTTTAATAGAGATGAAACATATGGAAATATATTGATCCTCATTTGCTAACCTAATGTGATCTGGTTTGCTGACATTGAATCGTACGTTTATGACGTATTTTTAAAACCTTTAATAAATGTTTTGCATATCATATATACATACTGACTTGAAAGTTATTATTTCGAATTCAGATATTTGCTTGTTAAATGAGAGTAACCATTTTCTAACATTGGTTATGTCTTCAATCCTCATATAAACAATGTTGCAATGACATTAGAAATAGTTTATTTCTACCTTTTTACATTTCTACCGACTAAAATGCATGCTTTTTTGTTTGTTTTTTGCATTATATCAGTTTTTAAGTAAATGAACTTTTCAGGTGTAAGGGATTCAGCACGTGCTAAACGCGAGGTACTTATTCTAACTGACGGAAGATCTAACAGTCAATCGTTAACTCTGGCTGCGGTTAAAAAACTTACATTAGAGGCGGATGTATACGGTCTTATGATAGGAAGCTTCACAATCGAAGGGATCAATGAACTCACACAATACGTTTCATCTCCAGCATATCAGCATTTGTTTGCTCTTCCGAGTTTCAAAGAACTTAAATATCTAATAGACTTCATTAAAACCGGAAAGATGATGAACGGTGCAAATTGGTGTGCACCATTTAACCCGTAAAATGTGGGACACATTTTAGATACATAAAGCTATATGTAATGAACACTTCATACACATTATCAAACACAAGATATGACATTTATAACCTTTTGGTCATTTTTGAATTATTTGTAGTATTTAATATCTATGTAATTCAAAATACTTGAATATTGTTCATAAACAAAATAAGATGTTATTTTGGTAGGTTTGGTGATAATTTAAAGTTTATAAAGCTATATATCTGCTGCAAAAAATATCATTTTTATTTAAAATATGAGAATTTTTTTCTAAAATGTTTGTTTTGAATTAAAATCGTTGTAAATTATCTTAAAAGGCAAATGACGGATGCACGAAATCATTTGCCAAATAAAATTGCTGGATAAAACCCTATTTAAATAGCAAAACAATTATTTTGTTCCGCAACATTGTATTATGTTTACGTGCAATATTCATGTGTGTTAGATATAACAGGAAGATAATATGTTACTCAACCTACAACATAATTTTACTGTTTTAAATTTCTATAAACCATATTTCATAAGAAATAGCTTTTTTACCCTTTAACGTATGCCTCAAAGGTTTCAAATAAAACTTAATTATTTCGTAATTCTATGTCTGTGCATTCTGTAATCATTTTAAGCTATCATTTTTTTATGCAATCATTTTATTACTATCCAGAGAAATCAATTATATTGCTTTATAAAACTGAAAGCAACACAGCTGCTTATTTTCATGAAATAATGATTTTTTTGGCTAAACATTATTATTTTTATTGAACACATAAAATCATTGAAACTAGTATGTCAACAGCGATTATATTAAATGTATCTCATAGATTTAAATATAACTCTGACATCATTGGAACCCAGATATATACTAATAAAGGAGCAAATAGGAAAGCGTTGTATAAATTGTAGGTATTCTAAATTGCTTAAATTCGCTCAGCCATCAATGGGCATCTTTTCAATATGTATTTAAAATATTGATTGATACAAAAGAAAAGTTTTATGTTGATATTTAAAAAAAAATTCTTGGAAGAAAATGTTTGATTATGACCATGTATGTGACTTTATTATTATTTTTGGTTCAATTATCAGCTTTAAATTAAAAAAAAAATCCGGGTCTCCGTATCTCACACACCACCCATCTATAATTCTTTCGTGGTTCTTTGCCACGAATAATTCAAATACTATCAAATAATTATGTATGGTATATACAGAAATTACAGAGCTTCCAAAACTAATTTCTAAATACAGTCATATGAAACTTTGTTTGTTAATCTCGAGGCTTACAGCTTTGATGGGAGAACATTAAATGCTGAACTTAAGGAACAGAGAAATAAAAAAAGAATTGCTACAATGAATCATCACCAAGTCGAATCAATATTTAGATATTTTATATGTACAGACTAAATGCAACCGAGTCTGAAATTTTATTTAATTTTGTTTTGATTGATGCTTCCGACCTCTTTATCCACTTTGTTTTAACTTACAAAATAAGCAGTATAATAGTCATGATTATGAAGTTTCAAGAATGATAGTTTAGACGATATATATTTTGAAGCGCTTTATTGATCATTCTGTATCAGTATCTTTATTCCTTTCAGTAAAATATAATAGCCTATTGTTAAGATTGTTCTAATTTTTTCTTCCCTGTTAACTGTAGAACATGATTTGTTATTGACAAATATGCATTTGCAATTTATCTGTTTAATTCATAACCTGGAGAGAGAGAGAGAGAGAGAGAGAGAGAGAGAGAGAGAGAGAGAGGGATTATAAGACTATTATTAATAATATCGTTAGAACATTCCCTCTGCTAAAACGAAATAAATATATGTAAGGTTTAAATGCACGATGTTACCCGGATTGTATTATCACTTTAGATAAGAAAATCCTTCTACTTAGATTTAGACCATTTGAATTTGTGTTTCGGTCATTTACTTTTTTTGTTTGATGAGTTAAATATTGCACAAATTAAATAATTGCATTCTTTAATCAATATTCAGTTCCCTGCCATCCTGTCAACATATGCAATTAAAAGCCAAAACTATTTCTTATTTAGTAAGCAAAGTTGGTAGAATGTTGGTTACAAAATAAATAAATTATGTCTTTTTTGAATAATTCATCCCTTTCTCCACCTGGATAATAATACGAGGTACGTTAACTTTTTTTTTAAAACAGGAATATATTCTTCATTTGTGTACTTTTTTACAGATCCTTTTTACTCAAATGAAGTACTTTATAATTACTATTAATAAATACACATGGTAAACAATCGAAACTAAAAATATGTAAAATATGCATTTGCGAGAAAATCGTTACTTGACTTGTGCTTGTTGAACTGTTAAGCTGAAATCAAGATGCAAAACAGAATTCATACTCAAAAATTTATACTGCTTGACGCAGATTGGCGAACAATAATGATTATTTTTTATATTTTAAGATTAAGGTGACTCATTTTTAGTGATTTGTCATTAAAATAATAAGACGTCAACAATGCTGCTGTAAATATATGCATGTATGACATTAGCTTTTTAATACGTGTTGTGACAAACGAATCAAATATATACCACGAGCTTGAATTATAATTGATGTAATTTTAATTGTTTCTATTTTATTTTTACGTCTAACATACAAAGAAAGTTAACATATCAGTTTTATTAAATCTTAACGAATTAACATCATTTAACGCTTTAATTTAAATAAGACCTTTTCAAAATACGTTGTTTAAAACCATGTGAATATATTCATTACTATGTGTTGCATTTAAATCACACTTTCATATATTAAGTAAAGTACGTATTAGATTGATAAATTGTTGTTGCTTTTTGAAAGTTTATGTCTTAAAGCGACGTTAACGTCATTTTTGTCATTGTCAGTTTAGGCCAAAACACTTGAACATTGTTTAAAAAGCCTCACAATTGTCATGGTTAATCACCAGGATTTTTAATGTCTAACATTTAGATTAAAATATTTTAAAAAACTGCCCCACATTTTTATAAATTGAATGTTATTACCGATACAGTCTGAAGAATATCTTTTTAGATATTTATGTAGGTCATAGGGCTTATTGGTTATTCAAGTGATGCTGATTATAAAGCTGAGAACAAATAAAAGAAATGTAAAGTAATCTTGAATTTTACTTGATCATGAACAGTAAACGTTTACTCACAGATGGGCATATTGTGACACAATTTAAGAACATGTTTATATTGTAAATGCGTAATGTTTATCTACAGACTAAACCCATCTTTAACATTAATGCAAGAATTATAATAAAGCTCAGGTTAACAAATTATGTTGAGCCCTAAATTATTGTACACTTCCCAATCTTCTTTTAGTTATGGTCTGTGGTGTGTCATGCTGTGATTACAGGAAAAGATGGTCAAATTTGTTAAACACAACAAATCTAGTTCAAGTGCATAGTAAGCATTTTGGACAGTCTACTTCTCCTTTTAAACGAAATAACGCAAATTTAGGTAATTCATACGTTCTTCTGTGATTTGCTGAGTTACAGTTAAAATCACATTCTAAACTTCTTCATTACACGAAATAACTGACAGTTGGGTAATCCATATGTCCGTTTGTGAATTGCTGGACTATAATTAAGAATCAAATTCTAAAGAGAAGCTTCACCAAGCAATATGGTAAAAGTTATCAAAGAAGGAAACCTGTAAAGCAGAGGAGTTTTGCGGTTTTGAAGATTGCATTACATTGAAAATTATCATTTTTAACATTGATTTGTAAATGACTAGGAAAATATTAATAACATGAACTCGGTACAATTTAAGTTGAATAAGAATTATTTTTGTAACTATTTGTGCGAAGTATCTTCAAAATCCATTGAACTATGAAGAAGTTATAGAATGGACACAGAATATACCCTTTAACAGACTATGTTAATCTTTGACCTAAGTGTGACCTTTGAGGTAGGGACCCATGTATTGCGCCTACCATATCATCTTATTGTTGTGATTATTTGTGCAAAGTATTTTTTTGATCTATTAAAAAGACAAAATATATCCTATAACAGACTGTATAAATATTTGACCTCTAAGTGTGACATTGACCTTGAAAGCAGCGACACAGGTCTTACGCATGGCATATCATCTTATTATTGTGTCTGTCTGTGCCAAGTATTTTCAAAATCCCTTGATATATAAAGAAGTTATGGACGGAACATGTACACAACATATACCATATAACAGACTATGTAAACCTTTGACCTCTAAGTGTGACCTTGGACGTAGGGATGCAGTCACTATAATTGACATATCTTCTTATAATTGTGACTATTTGTGCCAGGTTATTTAAAAATCCTTGGAACTATGATGAATTTCTAGATCGGACACAAAATATACCCTATAACAGACTATACAGACTATGTTAATTTTTGACCTCTAAGTGTGACCTTGACTTTGGAGGTGTTGCGCATGACACATCGTATTATCATAGTGACTATTTGTGCCAAGTTTTTTCAAAATCCTTTGATCTATGAAGAAGTTATGGACCGGACCTAAAATATATAATATAACAGACAATGTAAATCTTTGACCTCCAAGTGTGACCTTGACCCTGGAGGTAGGTGACCAGTTGTTACGCATGACACGTTGTCTCATTATTGTGAACAATTGTGGCAAGTATTTACAAAATCCCTTCAAAGATAAGAAAGTTATGAACGGGATACGAGTTATACCCTCAAATAGACAATGTTGACCTTGAATGAGCAAGTGTGACCTTGACCCTAGAGGTAGGGGTCTGGTTGTTGCGCATAACGCATCGTCTTATTATAACAAACATGTGTTATTTCAAATTCCTTTGATAAATGAAAAGTTATGGACCGGACACGAAAGTGTGTATATCCCTTTTTTCTTCGAAAAGTCGGGGGTTAAAAAGTATGGGCAGTCCAGAAACTAATTTGTCCTCATATTCGTTAAACATATTATTATATAGTACAAATGAGGTCGTCATCCTCCACATGTAAAGCTGGAAAGTCGCTGTATGTCCTTTACAGTGTTAATCTCCTCAAATAAAATATGTAATACAGATATTAACATTTATTAAGCTTAGATACATAGCATATAAGAAGCTACATTTTGAATAAAAGAATACTTAGAAAGAAAACCCCAACAATCTGAACTGTATGCTCCAATACTTATTATCAAATAACAAAGTCACAAAGAAAATGTCGATGATAATTCTTTCATTATTGTTTATATAATATTTATTATTTATAATAATTAACAAAGCAGTTCTTTATTTTTGTACGGAACACTTGAATTTAATTTGTATTTTTTCTTACACATTTTTTCTTTTATTCTTTTTCCTTTTATTAGATTTTACTCTTATTTTCTTCTTCTTAGATTTCTTTGTTTTCACTTTCTTTTTATTTTTAATCTTTTTGTTCAGCGGATTAAATGGTGCACACCAATTGCCACCAGCAAGAAGCTTCATGTTTTCGAGGACTTCTAATAAATCCTTTAGTTGATTCAAATTCTCTAAATAAAATAAATGCTCATTTATCGGTGACGACACGTATTGTGTGAGTTCATCCATTCCAGCCTGTGTGTAGGTTCCAATCATTAAACCGTATACGTCCGCTACAAGTTTGAGTTGTGCAACTGCAGTCAAAGTTTGTGCTTCAATGTTAGATCGCCCATCAGTCAGAATGAGTACCTCGCGTTTAGCCAGGGCTGCATTTCTTACACCTGAAAATTAGATTCGTCAAATGTTAATAGAATATTTCAATAAATGTAGTCTATGTTTTAGTAATATATATAATTTTCTTAAAGATATTGCCTGGTAAATAATTGCAATTAAGCTTTTGTTCTAAGATAACATGACCGGATTATAGTAAAAATGGATTCATATTTGATTCCGCAATTATATTTTACAGACGTATATAAAGATATATTTTTGATTCCGTGATTATATCTTTAAAAACGATAGTTTATTTCTAAAATTTGCTGTTTTCCTTCAATAATTATTTTTTATTCCTCTGGCATTTACGGCAAGATTCACAGTTTAGTCGATGTTAAAAAGAAGGCCAGCCGCGATGTGAAGACTGTTACACTACTCTTACATTGTTTGCATCATTATTATTATTATTGTTGTTTTTATCATCTAAAATTCTGATAAAATTTGCTCACATTAAATATTAGAAAATTGTGATTAAAATATTTTACTCAAAGAAGAGCATAGTATATCTTTAAAACCTACTTTGAATAGGTATATATATGTATCATTGAACGGTTAATGATTGATGTAAATCATTCAAACATATTGCACATCGGAACTAAAACTGTACAATTCTTTCGATAACATTCAAGATTTTTAAAGTTACTCTGTCAATATTTCTTGTTTGTAATGACGCGCAGCAATGGTGTATAATTATGTATTGACATGTGAGTGATGACATATTAATTAAAACCAATACCTGTGCCAGGTTGAAAGAGGACCTCTGCTCGTTCAAACGCTTTGTGGGTATATGTACCCTTACCTACATATACAGCATTTTCGATGGCAGTCTGGATACTGACTGTGGTATCGTACGTATTAAAGTAGAAGTTTGTAGTCACATCAGTTGAGTACGTCACCATGGCGGCTTGGTTATACAGATACGGAGACCCGACAATCCTGTCAAATGGAAGGATTGGACACAGTAGACCAATAAGTTTGCTTAATTGCTTCTTTGCGTCTATAAAACTTGTATTGCCAATACTTCCAGAACTGTCTAAGATAAGCACCAAATCTCTTACCAAATTTGAAGTACTAGTTCTAATTATTGTGTGAGGTTGTCCAGTTGGTCTTAAAAAGAACTGTTTGACATTATTTGCCGTTTCTTTAATAGTAGGGATTTTTCCTGAAAAATAAAATGAGGTTGGCAGTGATGCTTTATTATATTAAACAAAGGGACTGCAATAATCTTGATTTTAAGTCCTATTATAGTACGATCTTTAGAAAGAAGAAAACGAATGAAAATTATTTCCACTATTATGTTAAGGTTTTGTTAAATAAATTTGAAACAATTATTTTTGAGCAAGACTTTATAAGAATAACATGTTTTTTTTAGATTCGCCCAGACATTCTCTAGTTAAAAATGATAAAATTGTTACAAAGTTGTAATATCTTAATATTTTAATAAAAATACATCTCTATAGCAGGTCATTTATGGCAGCTTTTCTAAACCAATTCAAAAAAGTTGAACGATAATTTTAGTCATCATTTGTTTTAATTAATAAAGAACAGACACTTCAATACAAGAATACTTGTGTAGTATTTGTTATTTTGAATTGACCAGTTTCGAAACATATTGTCCTCGTTTCAAAATAAAAAAAGATTGTTTAATCAATCTGTTTTTCAGCCTAAAAATATGGTTTTGATTTTGAATATTAAGGTTATTTTAAACATCAAAACTTTTTTTTTTCAAACTAATTAATCTGTCGATCGAACAAAAATGCTTAATTTTGATAGATTTGCATAAGAACATGTCGAAATACTAATAATGCTTAATATATACACTTGTATACTATTATGTAATACTGCCTGTATGTAAATACTTTAAAGTAATATCGTATACTTGCAAATTAATACTTAAAATGTATTTTAATTCCAGAAAGGAATCATACAGTATCATAAACGGTTATATGCCATTTCTAATTATATGCGTTTTCAACCGCTTATAATGTTTGATATAACACATACATTAGAGTAAAATAAGATTTCTATTGTTACAAGTGTCCCCTAATGATTATTATATAATTTCAATATAGAAATTATTCGTAAGTGCCAATTCCTATCATATCTCGCTTGCAGTTTCTGTGTTAGAAAGGATTACGTTAGCTTCAAGAGATGGAAAAATTAAGCAAATTTCTGTTTTACATGTGATATAAACACCAATCGACTTAGAATTGATTTCAATTTAATTTTGAGTTCATTTCCTTTTTATCGTGTGCAAAAAATTTGACTTATGAAAGAAATAAACAGTCATCAAAGGTATCAATTCTTCATAGTCATCTAGTTTTCAGCAATCAATCTTTTGTCCATTTATATTTACTTCCTTAAAGTCCCAAGACATAGTATTCACATGCGGCAAACACCAGAGGATGTTAATATTTTATTCAAATTGATCTAAGTTTTGTATGTCTTCTACCATTCAAACAGAGCGAGTCTAAAGTTACAGTACACAAATGGAGACATAATAGAAAACGGCAACGTGAGGCAGAAATATGGTCAGGTGGACCACGATCCTGTTTTGTTTTCATTTAGGATTGACACCGACGGAGAATCAAATATCACAGAAAGTTTTGTACGTGTATTTCAATTATTTGTGTTTTGAAAAATGACATAAAAGATTCGCACAGGATTGAAACAGGTATGTCGCGCGTACAGACATCCGTCAAAAAAGATAAAAATGTTAAGGAAGTTACAAACATTACTGTTCGAGAAATGAAAAAACAATTTGAATAATTATTTCTGAGGTGAACCGCATTGTAAAAACAGATTCATAATATGACACGCGTAAGCGTGTGAGTAGCTCAGATTTGATGGATGGAAATGAGCAAAGGAGTAGGGTTACCGTGCCCCGAGAATAACTATGTACTGGTAGCGCTGAGAGGGACCATTATTCTTCTCTAGAATTATCATCATGGGCGAAACGTGGGTTCATTACTATAATCAGGAAGAAATAACGGATGCCATAGTTGGAAAGTTACAGGGTTTGCCATTGTCAGTTATTAGAATTGTAATTTTTCCTAGTTGAAGTCAATCCTCCGCAGAAGTTTTATGTTCGAGGAAAATGCTGACATCATGCCTGCTTTTCATCCATTTAACACCTGTTCAAGTACTGTGTTTGAAACATTGGGATAATACCGATGTAAAAACATCGCAAATGGCAGCAAGTGCTTTGAAGGCATTTTTCTTTATGCGTTAAACAACGGTTGAATGTTGTTTTGTGACGCTTACGTTTTCCGAAAAATAGTGTCATATATCATTTACTTTGATATATTTTGTTGATCTTCAATCATTTTTCCAGTAATCTTGATAGTTATATTCCTTAAATGTATATAGAATTTTTGCATGTATATATGTGTATACATATGCTTCCATATCGAAACGGCCCAATATTTCTTTGGAGACGTTTCTTGTATTAAATCAATATATAAGAATGGTATTTTAACTTAAAGTTAAGTCTTTAAATTAATAAATGATCGTACTGAATGAAATAGAAATAAACATATACAATGTTTATACATCCGTTCAAAGAACAAAACACATAAGCAAGTGATTAATGTAGAAAAATGCCTTTACAACTTTTCTATTAAATCTAAAATCGTACAATATGTTCATACATGTATTGATTTTAAGACCATTTCAAAATAAAATGTTAAAAAGCAGATGAGGAACAGATTGGAAAAAAGCGAATCATTGTTATCAATGGCATTGTCTTTTTTCATGGTGTGAGCGTTTCAATTTGATTTATGGAATAGTAAACGATTTGAGGAGCGACGCTTTGCATTTGTCCAAACGATGCGACGTTTAAATAAACCGTTAAATGAACGCTATTTAGGATAGTTTATTTGAAACACGTTACTGTCATTATTTTTCAATTTTTTATAGACATAAAGTAGGACAAAGACTAAGTATTATTCTTACCTGTGTAGCGGACGTCATCAAGTTTTCCACATTTTCCACCTGCTGCTCCTGATATGACGGATCGTGCGCGCGCCTGTTGTCCAAATCCAAAGTTTAAGCTCCAAGGTGACCAAGGTGATAATATACACACTGGTAACGGTGAACCTAAATATGAGAATATATCAATGTACTTTGAAACTTTTTATAACTAGAGCAAATTAACTTTATAAAGGTTGAGCAAAACCTCAATTTACCTTGTTAATTTACAAAGTAAATGCGCAGATATTACAAATATATTTATATAGCAATACTGAATGGTTTTCGTTCTAACTTAAGGTTATTTTATGCATCTGTTTTATCATATTTTATCGAATATTCAAGTTACAAAATGAAATTGTAAGTAAGTTATAATCAACAGATTTAAAGGCAAATTTCATATATTCTGCTTGAAGGTGAATAACAGCAATATTTCACGTTAAAATATCCAATGTGCACAATCAAGTGAAATGTGACCATTTTAGCAAATGATGGTTAGATCTTGCAGCACGGATCCAGATTTTATGTGATTGTTTTATTCCCTGTTTTTGCGCGAATGTCATTCTTTTATGTTTTAATTGTCTTACTTTCTTGTGTGAAATATATAAATAAATTTGTAAATTCATATTCCATCATTACTTTAAAAAAATAGCGCATGTTTGATTTTCAAATTTAATTCTTTGACTTTCATTTATGAGAAAGATATCAATTCAGCATAGTCTTTAGTAAGCGCACGAGTACGGACGGTTTAATGAAATAAGAGTTATTCCAAGTCTTCCCTTAACTTTTGGCCCAAAAGTTGAACAAATATTCAAGTATATAATTATATGAATGTACGATAAAAAAGTTTTGAAATAGGAATACATTTAATTATATTTGTGCAATAATGTTTTTATTAAAAGATGAAAGCATATTTTCACTGCACTATTTTCTGTCCTGTCTATTTCTTGTCTGTCATGTCTGTTCACGACCCAATTCAAATTTGAATGCGTCTACTAATATTAACAAAAATAAAATGATTAATAACATTTGATATAAAACGGCTGGTACCTCTTGTCTCTTTAAGGGGTGGACATGGCTTCCCGCCATTTTTTGGATTACGCACAATCTTCCTTGTTCTCGTCTGAACCCCTACAGCTGGACTCCATGGTGACCATGGCGACACAATGCAATCTACCGGGATCTAATATTATAAAAGACCATAAAAATATATTAGTTTAAACCGACAAAAAACATCCTTTTTCACTGAACAATTTTAATAAAATGTGTGCCAATGTAAAGCAACTTTATACAATATTACAGACTTTTAAGAAACAGTTAATGTATTTACTTGTTACTAAACTAGCACAATATAGCATTTCTTTAACACTATATGTAAAAATAAATAATACATTGCATCAAGTTAAAAAGTTTTTTTGTTTGGTTTATGGTGCATCAATACAATTTAGGTCATATGACACCGAAACAAGAACGATTTTAAATAAGTTAATAATGAATGTAGTAGAAAAATACAATTTTGTAAGGATACCTTTAACAATTATATAAGTTTTCGGTTGCATGTACTATTTATCCCAATTTTAAAAAGTTTTAGAACGTTTCAGAAAATCTAGAAAAACAATTTATAGTACTAACATTCTAAAATATCACAATGGCAACTAACAGCTGTTTACAAACTCGCTACATAACCGTATACAATGATTGCACTTCGAAATAAAGTACATGTAATTTCAAAGCCCTCACGGCTATATCTATATATTTAACTTATGATAAATTGGTGATGCTAAATATTTTTTTTAAAGGAAGACTAAAAATTCATGATCATAACATACTCGTGATTGAAAACGTAAAGTAAATGCATATTATTTCCTAAAATTCTCTTACGGGCACGTTCATAGATTAAGCTTTCTGAACATACAGGATAAATCTATATGAAAGTAAAAAGAAAAAGAAATTATCAAAATTCTGATGTCTCGATCCTTGGTGTATGTCGTTTCACTTGGTCCATTCAGACGTTTCGTTAAGGTATGATCCCCCTTAATAACGGGCACTGTTAGGAACTGTAAAATTATCACTTTATGTCACTTATATGCCTTAAAGGACACCTGTATGCAAAGTTTACCATATTTGTTTTCCAGTTATGGACATTTTTATGAAATTAGAGGGGATCTTTTTCAGAAATGGAGGAACTCTAAACATTATATTATGATATCATCCGTATGGAAAATGTTTTAACATTTATCATAGTCATAAAACAAATAAAAACATTCAAAGCGATAAAGGAGACACAAGAAAAAAATGAAGAAAAAAAATGTTGACACTTTTGGGGCTTAAACCAACGACCCTCAGTTTCAATGCAGTTAACATCTACTTCTAGCCTATTTGAATACTCTACTATGCGGAGGTAATGCATTAGGGGGATCTTACGTTAATTCGTTGATTTCCTTCTCAGAAATCAAACCTTCGACATATTACTGATTTACCTTATAAGCGTAATAAAAATAGAATAAATCCTTTTGTATTACATGTAGCCTGTTCAATGGTTTTTCGTTTAATTGTGTTTGAACATATTACAGGTTAACCATCGATGTTAAGCTATACCAAATTTTACAATTATAATTATATCATTAAAAAGTTAGCAAGATTTGTCTAGAAACTATTTTATCCTCATATACATTGACTACATTATCATATCATACAAATGAGGGGGTCTTCATCCACAAGTAAGCTGCAAAGCCGTCGCTATAATATCTTTGCAGAGTTGATGAGTTGATGCCACTTAGCCCAAAAAACAAAAAATGTAATACAAATATGAAAAATAACCATGCTCAAATAGCTTTCTATAGGAAGATAATTTTTTTAAAATCAAAATCTCCAATTAACATTAACAGTAAGATTCTTCTGTACTTTAAATCAGCTAAACAATGTCGATAGAAAAATCTTTGATCATTTCGTATTATTATTAATATGAATATGAGTAACATGTATGTATTTATTTATTTATCATTTCTTTTTTATTTTCACTTTATTCATTATTAAGTCTGCAATTTTATAACAGACTTAGTAAATGTAGTATTCTGTTCTTTTACTAGATTTGACCTTAATCTCATTTGAAATTTCTTTTTACTTACTTGAAATGGTGCACACCAATTGCCACCAGCCAGCTTCTTCTGGTATTCTAGGTATGCTAACAAATCCTTTAGTTGATTCAAATTCTCTAAATAAAACAAATGTTCATTTATTGGTGAAGACACGTATTTTGTGAGTTCATCCTTTCCAGCCTGTGTGTAGGATCCTATCATTAAACCATATACGTCCGCTACTTGCTTGAGTTGTGCAACCGCTGCCAGAGTTAACGTTTGACTGTTAGATCGTCCGTCAGTTAGAATGAGCACCTCGCGTTTAGCAAGTGCAGCATTTCTTACACCTGAAAATGAAATGTTTAATGTAAATCAAAATGTTTGATTAAATTAAGTTTTTAATTCAAACAAATATATCTGGAAAAAGTGATGCCACCGAAGCATTAAAAACAGCAAAATTTTATGAAAATACAGAATCGGTTTGATTGAGGTTGTAAATTATGGATAATGAAAAAGTGCAACATTTCTCACGCTCCCATGCACCGGCTATAACATTGGTAACAAATTTACCAAAGGAAATAACATAGTAACTGTTAGTAATATGTTACCTTACACATTGAATTATGCTATTTTTATTCAAAATTTGCATTCTATTTCTCAGACATTTACAGCAATACCAAAAGATTTAGTTAATGTTAAAAATGCATAGACTAAAATTTTTTAGATAATGGTTTATGATAATTTTGTAAAAAATCCTTTCTGGGATAAGTATAAATTTTTGTATGTTTTGAAATATTGCAAATCATTCAAACATATTGTACATCGGAACTAAAACTGTACAATTCTTTCGATTTCATTCAAGTTTTTTTAAGAGTGCAAACTTTTGTTTAATCTTATGGCGCACAGCGATGGTTAATAATTATGTTATTGACATCTGTGTGACAAACGAAAAACGAATACATGTACCTGTGCCAGGCTGAAAGAGGACCTTTGCTCGATCAAAAGCTTTGTTGGTATTTGTACCACTACCTACATATACGGCATTTTCGATTGCAGTCTGAATACTGACGGTGGTATCGTATGTATTAAAATAGAAGTTTGTAGTCACATTAGTTGAGTACGTCACCATGGCGGCCTGGTTATACTGATACGGAGACCCGACAATCCTGTCAAATGGAAGAATTGGACAGAGTAGACCAATAAATTTGCTTAATTGCTTCTTTGCGTCTAAAAAACTTGTACTGCCAATACTTCCAGAACTGTCTAAGATAAGCACCAAATCTCTTACCAAATTCAAAGTACTAGTTCTAGATATTGTGGCAGATAGGCCAGTTGGTCTTAAAAAGAACTGTTGGACATTTCTTGCCGTTTCTCTAACAGTAGGAACTTTGCCTGAAAACAAATGATGAAATTTCAAATTTTGTTCAATTAGATGAATCAAAGGGACTGCAAGAATTCTGATTTTCAGTCTTACTACAATACCGATTTTTAAATAGAAGAAACAGAATGAAAGTTTTCATCATTATGTATAAGTTGATTAAATTTTTCCATGTAAAATTAAATGGAAACTGTTATTCTAAAGCTTAACTTGCAATCAAAATGAGTTGAATGATCAAACTATTAGAAAGTTTGTTTAATGTGTTTAATCATATAGGAGATCATCAATGGTAGATTTGTTCTTAATCAATTAAAGAGAAGTAGAAAAAATCAATTTGTTAGCAAGGGAAGCTGTTTGATTTTCATTCCCGTACATTGATAAAAAATAATTAATATTGCATGTGAAATAGTTATTTTCATAAGAAACCCATGATGTACAGAACCTTTAAATTTAGCTGAATGATTGAAAGCGATGACACAGTATTCAAAACGTTTATTTGTCATATACCTTATTTTATGTGTGTTCAGCCGTTTATACGGGTTAATATCACATGTGAATATTGGTACAATTTGCTTTTAAAACGTGTATGACAAAAAGTTATTTTGAATTTTACTTTTGCTCACGCTTATTACACTTTGGTTGCCATTGTATCACTTAAGTAAAACTCCGAAAAATAAAAGCAAATCATAAAAAGGTAATTTGACTGAAAGTACTGTGCATTTTGACACGGCGAGACTCGAATTATTTATTTTTTAAGAACTAATAATTTAAAGACCTTTTCCATACACTATTCGTGTCCATTCGTGTCTAAATAAAGCACGGAGTGGCGTCTGAAGTCTTCAGTTAGAAAAATACGGCTATGTCTGACGTAAATTAAGCAAGGCGTATTGCAATCCTGTTTTGGTCTTAGGTAGGATTGACACCAATGGATATATCAAAGCAATTAAATAGCACTTAAATTTACACAGATGTGTCACAATCATTTGTGTTTTGAAAAGTGGTATGACAAAATCGCAACGGATGGAAACACGTATGCCGCGCGAAAAACGGCAAAGAAGGTCAAAAGTTTAGGACGTTATTACAGGAACTACACAAATCTCTTCAAGAATAAAAGACAAATCTCGAATACATCAGTGTTTAACAGAAAAGAGAAAAGAAATACAAATTGTGCATGCTGATATAGTCTTTTTGTTACGTTTGCTGTTCATAGATTTATTACAGACGTAAGGTGATGTGTTTTAAACATTTGCAACAACGCAGCTCATACATCCCACATTGTTGCAGAAGACAATTTCCTTTTATGTTAATCGTATTGTTTGTGTATTTGGCGTTAGAGAGCGCTGTAGAATAACATCGTATCATTTAATTAGATATAACATCATTCTTTTTTGACTTGATATATCTTTGCTTATCTTTTTGCAAATGTTCGTATTATTTGTAGATTTGTCTTAGGATATATGCATTTATTATATGTTAAGGTTTGGCAATGTTATGTGTTAATCCTTCTCAATCGATATCGCTCACTATCTCTTTGGAGTCAACTCTCGTATTTAGAACAAAATGATAGAAAATTTCCGTTTTAAATCAATTCAATGCTAAATTGTCCTTTACTTCGTGTGCTTCAATGTAACAATTGTCGGGGTTAAATAAATAAAATTTGGTAAGTGTGTACATGAAAGTTCTTACAACTAAAATATACGAGCGTTGTCAATGTCGAAGTTAATATCTTTATCAGTAAAAACGTAATTGCAATCGTAAATTATGTTGATATTGGTTTTATATGTGTTCCTTATTAAGTGTTTAAAAGGAAAAGTTAGAAACAGATAAAAACAACACTTTTTGCGTGTATTCAAATAACACATTGAACATGCGTGCAAAGAAATGATCGTTACTATTGGCATTATTTTACCAATTGTTTAGTAAATGCTAATAACAATAATGAAACATAAAACGATTTAAATTGCACAGAAGGAGCGGCGCGCAGAAATTGTTTAATGAAACGCGACGTGTAGACGATCGTTGAGTAAACACTATTGAGGACAGTTGAATTTCGAGACTGTCATAAGTTTTTAAGTTTTGACAAATTAATTGGACAAATGTAGTACAACGACTAAGTTATGTTCTTACCTGTGTAGCGGACGTCATCAAGTTTTCCACATTGTGCACCTGCTGCTGCTGATATGACAGATCTTACACGCGCCTGTTGTCCAAACCCAAAGTTTAAGCTCCAAGGTGACCAATCCGATAATCGACACACTGGTTTGATTACGAGCGGGGGACCTGATATTATCTCTATTTTAATACTTTTTATCAAATTCAATATACATGTATAAGTTATCGTTTAGTAGATAAATACTGGCACATTCCAACTTTTATCAGTTAAACAGATAAATTGGTAACTTTGCTACGGCCATTCGTAACTAAAGCAAACTACATTTACTCAATAAAATGCTTACATGATAACAATATCCTAAAGACAGGGTATAAATGATTCCATTTTGTAATAAACATTTTATTCTTAGTCCTTTTATATGTGTATTGTATTAGAAGAATTACTATTTCATTTTTGTCTATTTCTGTATGGCATGAAAACGTCACTTCTAGAAATTTCAATAAAATAATTATCTCAGACAATATTATTCATGTAAGAACACGTATGTACTAGCCTAAGGCTATTTTCTATTAATACTTTTGATGAATATAGACGTTTAGAAGACTAGTTAGCCTTTAATTAATTACACTAAAAGTTGATAATGATAAATTGTTACTAACATTTGATCTAAAAAAATACCTCTTGTCTCTTTAACAGGCGGACATGGCTTCCCGCCATTTTGTGGATAACGCATAATCCGCCTTATTCTCGTCTGCTGTCCGCCGACAGTGTTAGCCGGACTCCATTGTGACCATGGCGTCACAACACAATCTACTTTCAATGATGTTTTAAAAAATATTGTTGAACGTCAGGTGTTTTAAAAACGAAACATTGCTAAACAAATAAAAATTTTTAAAACAAAAATGAAAAACATTTTTTAACTATGAACAAGTCTTCCACAAATACAGACTGGGGACGGTTTGGGTAAAAACCCAAAATAAAAATACAAAAAATTGTACAACGGGTGGTTAATCTTTGCAGATATAAAATGCAAAGAAGATTAAAAGAGATATTCTAACAGATTTTGCAAACATAAATACAGTTTTTATTCAAAGCTGACACAGCTGCCGCTAATCCAGCACAGGGTGATATTTTAAATCTGATAGCCATCAAAAGTAGTATAAACTGCACCAAATAAAAGCTTTTAATTACTGAAAGTTTTAAAAAATAATTTTTTCGAATTAAAAAACCTTTGGTTTCCCAAAATTTTTTCCCGGAAAAGCATCGCTTTTTAGCAAACCCCGATTCTTGCTTACTTTTCACTTTCAAGCAGACGTCAGAACAACTGTGTTTTCGAGAAATTATTTTTTTTAATATTCTGTATATTTATTTATAAACATATAACAAATATAAGAAAAGTCAGCCGGAAAAGATTTGATTAAGATAACCAATAGCATCGCATATTTGAATTCTATGTGAATACATCAATGTCCAAATGAAAATTAAGAGAATTAATCTTTATAGAACTATTTTTTTTTATTGCACTGTTAATCAAATATATGAGTAATACGGAATTTTTTTATCAAGTCCGTGTAAAGTTCGTAATAGGTTCTTATGTAGATGTAATTTATGAAGTTTATGTAGTTTGCTTTGAAATACCGGTAGCTATAGGCTATGAACCTGAATTATTTCTTAAACTCACCTTGGTTACTTCGGAACTGCATAACATTTTGAAATTTGAATTCCCGCTTCAATATAGGGAAGGGGAATGTATCTTTTTTAATTTGATTTTTTACAGTAATATTTGAAAGGGGTGCTTAAATTTTTTTTCAAAAAACAAAAAATTCTCTAACCCACAAGTATCCACGTTAAATCAATTTTAAGTGCAAAAAACTTTCAAATTTATTTTTAAAAGGCCTGTTTAGAAAAAGTTTTTAAAGCTTTTATATGAAAATGGCTGTAACCAAAGTTATTTACCCTTTTAAATCACAATAAAGCCCCAGTGAAAAGAAATCTGTTGTTATTTTCATGATCATTTCGATACGTTTTTGACACACTTATAAGCCTTCCCTCCCTCTTCACTTATAAGAAACGTCCTCGAGAAGTAAAATTCTCGCTCAACCAAAATAGGAAAGCGAATATAGGCTCCAAACCGGACACCTAAAATTACTTATAAAAGGATGTTAGATGCCCATTATGCCACAAAAATGTTTTTTTTCTATAAATCTTTTTTATTTTGTTTATTTTTTGGGGCGTATTTCTGACTTATAATAATTTAAAAAAAAGGTTACACATTGGCAAAACTTAACTGCTTTCTTCATCTGTTGCTTTTGAAAGTTATAACATAGTTATTAAATATTTTGTATGGACGTAAAAATACTACTTTGTTTAGTACTTGTGTGACATAATATTTTTACACGTAAAGTGGCTTATTTCATTTAATACGAGGGTTTTAACCCTGCTCTTAAAACCCAAAAAGAAGGAAAAAAAAACGTTAAATTTTCCTAATTTTTGTCCTTTTTTAAAGGAAAAAAAAAACCATTCATTTTTAGGGAAAATTTTGCTTTTTTTTAAAAGTTTTCTTTTTTTGGCCCCAAAACAAACATATAAAATATCTGGAAAACAGCCTTTCGTTTTACAGATACATGCTTAAAAAAACCTTTTTTAATTTTCTAGACAAGATAATTTAAAAATTTCAAAAAAACAAAAAACAAAATTTGGGGAAAAAGATTATTTTTAAAAAGCAATTAAACTCTGAAAATTTAGAGATTTTAAAAAAATGGGTTTATTTAAATATCAACCCTTTTTCCCCTTTTAAAATTGGAATTTTTCCCTTAAATGGGAAAACAAAATTTTACGTTCTATTTCCTAACAAAAAATTATTTGTTTTTCTTATCAGTCCAAAAATTTGGGCAATGAATTAAAAATAGGAAATAAAAAACATGGGGTTAAAATTATATGATTTTAAAAAAACATTTATTTTATTGGTCTTATAAAGACATATAAATTATATTTTGAAAGTAAACTTACTCTCTGGTTTTCATGTTTTATAATTAAAAAATGAATGACTATTAATTACATGAATTACCATAAATTGTATTATTATTAAGTTCAAGTAAATAGGCGTCTATAAGACTCTATATGGAGCTTTTCATCTTTACAGAAAATGTAAGGAAAGAAAGAAGAAAAAAAACAGAATACATATTGTACCTTTATTTAGCTGAGCTAAGTTAACATATTACGGTATTACTTCAATTCTTAGTTGTTCATACGACATATGTGACTTCAATATCATCTGAAAAATATCAAGAATTGATTACAAGTTCTTTCCTCTGTCCTTTTTTCTCGGTTTGAGTTTGCGTCTTAATTTATTTAACCTTTTTCTTATTTTACGTTTAGCTTTGTTTAACTTTTTGTTTAATTTTTTGGTAAAACCTTTACACCAATTTGGACCTTCCAGCTTCTGCTGATTAATAAGATCTGTTAATAGATCTTTTAGTTGTTGGACATCCTGAGCATAAAATAAATGCTGTTCTATTGGTTTAGATACATATTTTGTGAGTTCATCCTTTCCAGCCTGTGTATAGGTTCCAATCATTAAACCGTATATATCAGCTACAAGTTTGAGTTGTGCAACCGCAGCCAGAGTTAACGTTTGATTGTTGGATCGTCCGTCAGTCAGAATAAGTACCTCTCGTTTAGCGCGTGCTGCATCTCTTACACCTGAAAAACGTGATATTTAAGAAATATATATTTCTATTAAAATAAGTACTGTTTTGGCCAATAGAAAAATATGTTTTATTACTTGTTACAAATTATAATGCTGTGATATTGACATTTATATAACAGTGAAAACTTAACATGATGATTCCAACAAACAAATTATATATTAGTTTTTAAGACTTGATTTAAAATGATGCTAATTTCAGTCCGTATGCATGCTACATTTTCAAGTAAATAAAATAATGTTATTCCATTCGTAGTCAATAAAAAACTGGCAGAGAAGCAAAAACGCGAAGTGCATTTAATTTCACGTTTCTAACATTGTCTGAAAGACTACATGTAAAATCATAAACAAGCAATATAAAGGCGTTGCTTAGAATATAATGGATATGTCGCCAATCAATTAAATCCTATCAATATTATAGAAACATATAAGTATATACAATTCTTGCATTCATGGAATGTTACGATTTACAGACTTTGGTTGAAATGAATAATCATTATATGAGTGACGATAAATTTGCGACATTAATTTTTACAATACCTGTACCAGGTTGAAAGAGAACCCTTGCGCGATCAAACGCTTTGTTGGTATTTGTTGACGAACCTTCATAAGTCGCACTTTTGATGGCATTCTGAACACTGACTGTGGTATTGAATGTATTGAAATAAAAGTTTGTAGTCACATGCGTCGAATACGTTACCATGGCGGCTTGGTTAAATTGATAGGGAAACAAATCTCTCCTATTAAAAGGATCGATCGGACAAAGTAGACCGACAAGTGTACTCAGTTGCTCTTTTGCTAAAATAAAACCATCAGTGCCGATACTACCAGAACTGTCTAAGATAAGTACCAAATCTCTTGTCAAATCTTCAGTTTGATTGTTGTTGATAGTACTTTTGGTTTGACCAGTTGGTCGGAGAAAAAAATCTTTGACATTTGTTGCTGTTTCTTGAATAGTGGGAATCCTGCCTGAAAAAATCAAGACTTATTGTACAAGAAAATATAAGAACACAGGATCTACATTGCAGCTTTGTTTTGTAGATTTTTAAAGGTATAAGCTCGTTTTGGATATTTTTTCTTATACGTCAATATTTCCACTTTTTGCATTACTTACAGTTATTGTTGTTAAGTATTCTAAAGGGATGCATGTCATGTTGGTTTATAGCCTTTTTACTTGTTGGCAACATTGGTTAAATTTTTTACAATAATACATATTCACTGTAAAAAGTTGATTTTTATTATTTCTTGAAATTTATGTTCATTCTTTCTGAGATTTAAATAATAACAAAGAAAACAATGCTGATGATATAATAAAGTATTACTCTTTTTTTACTTTCTTCTTTTCCTCACTCGACATATATCATAAACATTATATCACATAAATTATACATGAACAATCGTTTCAAAAGATAGTTGCGTTCTCAACCTCAGGCGTTTCGACGTTATTTATGTAAAAAAGAATACATTACAAGGTTTCTACATTTTAAAGTTTGTTACACACAAAAGCGACATAAAAGGCTAAGTCTGAATAGTTGCATTTGTAAGTAATTGAAATATAAAAGAACAGATACAGACTGAAAGACGAATAGTCTTAAACCTCTCTTCAAAAACATAATTAATAAACAAAAATGATTAAAATAGTTATTTTAAATTACTTTGCAATTTTAATCTACCTTATACTTTTTTAATATATGTCATCTTTGTTTTGACAAAATTTAAGGTAAAAAATTAATCTTACTTCAAAAGAATTTCTTTGAATAAAATGAATCTGCAGTTAGTTCTAGATCTTTTAGAATCTGCATATAACCTCAATAAACAATACTATAAAAATAAAACATATGATAGCTTGATTTATAGTTAAATCAATATTAAACTGTTAAACAAAATATAGATATTTACTAAGTGTTACAATAACTATGTGTAACATTTAATATCCAATATATTAGATGTGATGAAGTGTGTGGCCATATGAATGAATAAACGAACGTTATGAAAACGTCTCACACATAGTTTCATGTATCATTAATTTCTGATGTGTTTGAAATTGGTTTTATCGTAATACCAAATCAAAATTAATCAATATATCTGACTTAAATAATAATTATTAGCAAGCGTTCATTGCACGTTAGTTTTTATCTGTGGCGATGGGATTGATGATCATATATTTAGGTTGTTGGTCATTCCAATGTTACATTTACCAATGTTACATTTACTTACTGAGGGTTTTAATCAAACTATTCTGCCTAGAAATCATCACGTTTTGACACATTTTTTAGATTGTTTTCTTTTTCATTTCGGAAAAAAATATGAGACTCCCCGGTGGTCCGTTTTAAAAGGCTGGATTACATTTAAGCGGTTTTAAATTCCAGTATTGGTATTGTTACAGGCCATTGCAAGCAGTCAGCATTCTTTCTTTACATTTATATATTACTCTTTTTTCGTTGCATGTTTTATGCAGTTATCAGTTCGCACCTTTTTACTAAAAATATATGTTCTTATACGTTTTGTTCGGCGCCGTGATGTTTTGTAACATTGAGTTCTGTGGAGAAAACTATGGTTTGGCCCGTGCTCTGTCAAAGTGGCTCAACACTGATCTTTGTTCCAAGTGCAAGAAAAATCATTGCTTTCAACTGTTTCAATCCTATATGGTATAATGATCTAAGTTGTATGTGAATGTTTTCACTTACCAGTGTAGCGGAGGTCATCAAGTTTTCCGCATTGTGCACCAGACATTCCTGATAAGACAGTTCTTGATCGTGTTTGTTGTCCAAACCCAAAGTTTTTGCTCCATTTCGACCAAGGTGATAAAGTACAAACGGGTGTACCTGAATAAGAAAATATTTCAAAAATGTAACGTAACTTTTAACAATTATTAAAAGATAAGTATTTATATCTGATTTTATAGTTTCTGTCGTTCAAAACTCGGGTTATTGCACGATGCATATCCATATCCGTACACTCTTTGCGAATACCATTCAAACGTTACCCTCTTCTACATGCACATTCTCTACTGAAAATAAATCTGCGCCGGGTAACAATCTAAAGCAATTTTATTGTAAAGAGAAAAGGAAGTATGTCATGAGGTAAAAAAGTATACCACGGAACACTGGAATGTTTTATATATGTGCTGTTTTGTCATGTGCCCATTTTTCAAACTTCACAGTAATCGTCATAAATTCTACATGTCTTGCCTCGCCACTGCCTCGGTATATTTTTTTCGGGCTTAAATGCACTAGTTATTTCATTATATACGCAGCAGTTCATTTATATATCATCTTCGAGCAAATTTCAATAATGAGTCAAAGATGAAAAATGTAAAATTCATAAAAAACACCCCACTTTCAGTTTTGAAACAGCACGGGCTACCAGTTTGTTTTTGAATTTTTATATGATAGGTAAAAACCCATTTCTTTAATGCACGGGTACCCTCAAAGCGCCAAATATGTTTGCGTAAATCGTTTATGATAGGATTGCAATGATTGATAAAGATTGCTACATCATTTAGCTTTGTTATGTGTGACATCGCTTCATTACCTTCATACAGTACATCTAGAATTGTAATTTTAATTCTTCGGATGCTCTTGCTTTTAGCTACATGAGCATCATGTGCTTAATGTGAAAGAATAGAAATCTACTATAATATAATACAGATTACATGAAGATGATAATGATGACCATGATAATATGTTTGAACTGTAAAATTTCAGTACCTCTTGTCTCACTTAGGTGTGGACATGGTTTTCCGCCATTTTGTGGATGACGCATAATTCGCCTCATTCTCATCTCCTGTCCGAAACTGCCATTGGATCTCCAAGTAGACCATGGTGTCACACTACAATCTATCGGCGAACTCTTCACTATTAATGACCAGACGTCAGTTATTGCAATGCATGATAATATGACGAATAAATATATTCTTAAACAATTAGAAACCATGTCTTGCAGATTCTTTAAATGATCATGAGTCGTCGGAGAAAATCTGTAAAACTGATCAAGTAATTGCTACCATTGCCTTAAATATATACATATGAAATACACGCAGTGTATAATCTATATCAGGGACAGCATATTGTGCTTGTAGGCTTAACAAAACGCTTAGTTAATGACATGTAAATGTGTCGATACAAAGAATATAAAAAAAGAGTTTGAAATACATAATTATGTATATATAGATACAGTTGTTAAACAATATGCCGGCTGACGCAACTGTTGCTAATCCTGAAGCTTTTTCATTAATGCAATCCGATTTCAGCATCAAACACTTATCCACTGGCGCTAAAATTACATTAAATCAAATTCGGCGTTAAAGATTATCCTCTTATTGATAAAAGCATATTCTTGATTTCAGTAAAAATGTCTTCAAGGGGTCTCCATAATTTTGGAAGAATATATCAATAAATCATAATTAATACAAAATATTACCGCACAGTTTCATTAAACATTATTCAAATTGGGTTAATATTTGATCCAAAAGCTACATAATTATGTAGATATATATTGAAAAACACATAAAAAGATGTTTGTCAAAGTTTCGGTAAACCTTGGTTAGTTTAAATATAAGAATATGTAAATAAATGTACTTGAAGCTGTAATATTAAATTTAGATAATTTGTTCGTGTTTAAAATGTAGTATTTTATTTTGTGTGCTTTATGATTGAAAAATCAGAAAAAAACACTATGTTCATCGTTAGAAGCAATGGTATTTACCGAATACCAGCAAAATTAATGTAGAATATAAGGAATGTGTACCATTGGTTCCGATGATGTGATAGAAAGGCCAAACAATATTAATATGAAAAATGGTCTGCTGTTAACAAACAATCTTTTGTGTTTAAGATATTTAAATTTTAACCATTGGTAAGCTTAAAAGACATTTTCAATTTACGAATGCTGTTTGATATAGGAAGGACCTCTCTGAAATATGATAAACAAGATCAACAAGGAAAGGCGGCGTTCAATGAACGCAACCCCCATATGACCCAGCAACAAGAACCAACGGCAAGGAGCCCAGGCGGACCCCAAACATAAAAAGGACAGGGCAACGACCCGTTAATCATTAAATGATAAATAATTTGTAACTGATTAGGAATTCAAAGAAAATAATAATAGGCCCACAAAGGGGAAGGGGACAGAAGACCGGGGGAAGGGGGGGGGTTTAATCAAAGAAATAAAAACTAGAGGCAATGGGGAAGATACTTACCGTAGACGAGAAAACAACAAGGGACACAAGCAAAAGTGTCACCAAAACAGTATGAAACAACATAGACATACATCTGAGGAACACAGTGGGGCGCCGCCTTGGAACGGTCAGCAGCATAATAATGACTGCTGGGGAGTTTAAACCGGTTAATGGTGCACCAAACCTCGCTCTTAGCCCCACCATGTTCCTATAAACGAGACAGTGTAAATAAAATGAATCCCCGCCAAGTGAAATTCTAACAGTTGTCATGGTTACAAAAGGTTAAATAAGTAAAACACTAAAATGATCATGTAGAAACATATAAAAGTAAACCCAATGACCATAACAAAAGTACTCAATGTCCTAAAGGAAGACAGAGCAACAAGAAAATCACCTACAAGGGCCCGACGAAGCAAGGCAGAAGACGAACATTAAGACAATTCAGTCCCAAAGGGCTTTACGAACTATCCATCATAGAGTCTCCCACTTGGTCCGTCAGATGCAATCAAAAGAGGAAAGCGTAGTGTCCAACTGTAAAAGGGTTGAACACTAAACATGCAGTATGTCTTAAAATAGTAGGGTCATAACCTCTTTTAATAAAACGTTTAATGATTTTAGTAAAAACAGCAGAAAAATTACCATGACCCAAAATCTTACGAAGTTTGTAAACCACATCGCCATAAAAACCAGGCTGGCTAATCCCTTGTCGCAGAAGAGTTTTTAAATCACTATTGAATTTAGAAATTAAATCAAAGTTACGATTGTAAAATTTAGTAAAATATTTCCGTAATTTATGATAGCGGTAGCCCTGTTTTAGAAGCTTGCTGGTAATAAAAATATTCCGCTCGTTGAAATCCTTTACGTTGTTACAAGCTCTAGCGAATCTAATTAACTGAGAAACATAAACCCCGTAGGATGTTGCATGGGGTACGTCTCCATCCAAATGTGGATAATTAACTATACAAAAGTCAAAGTCATCTCTTTTATCATAAATTTTCGTGTGAATAGAATTGTTGTTGATAGTAATATGAAGATCCAAAAATGATGTACTAAAATTTCAAGAGTTCGTTTTATTAAGTTGTAGTTCATGTGGATAAATGACAGACACCATTTGATCAAAATAAGGATTATCTAAATTAAAAATATCATCAAGGTATCTGGAAGTATTATTAAATGCGACTATAACATCTTGTTGTTTCTCTTCAGAGAGACTCAACATAAAGTCTCTTTCATAGCAGTACAAAAACAAATCGGCGACCAGGGGTGCACAATTAGTACGCATAGGAATTCCTATGATCTGTTTAAATAAGGTATTACCAAACCTGACATAAATGTTGTCTAAAAGAAAAGAGAGTGCTCTACAAACTTCGTCACAAGTCCACATAGTATAATGTTTAACAATACCGTTAGTAAAAAAAGCTTTGTTAGAATTACATGCTAGAAAGGTAACTTTTTCCCGTGCAAAAGTTTTCTGAATTAAGGAAATTAGTTTATCATTGATTAATTTATGTGGCAAAGTTGTATAAAGTGTAGAAAAATCGTATGTACTGACAGTTGAAGCTTGAAAGTTATTAATTTTGAATTTATCCAAGATTTCACCAGAATTTTTAATTGACCAAAAGAGATGTTTGCCTGTGTTTTCATAGACTTTATCACAATATCTAATTACATGTGTTTTAATGGCAGTCAAACAAGACGTCAATAAAATAGAAAGTTTACTTGTAGTGCAAGATGTAGAATTAGCAATAAATCTGGCTTTGTAAGGTTTTTTATGTAATTTAGGAATCCAATACATAATAGGAAGTTTGAGTTCTTTTTCATTAATTTGGACTTTAAGATTGGAAATATTAGTTATATGATTGTTTACAATGTCTTTTTCGGAGGCAGAGGTTTTAGAATACGCATTAGTGCTATTTAGTTCCTTATGCAAAACGTTAATGTAATGGATTCGTCAAACAATTATAATATTATTAGCCGCCTTGTCCGCTGGCACTAAAACAAATTTTGAATGAAAAGCTAGAATATCTTTTTTCAGATGTCTTAAAGTAAGTCTTGGTTTAGGTGGCAAAAGATGTTCATTTCCACGATAAAAATTAATACGTGAATCAATAATTTTAAAGATGTTACGTTTCCATGTAACTAGAGCATTACTATCTGCATTTTCACGGCGACACCATTTGACCGAAAAATTCTCTATAGATTCAGCAATCTGACCACGACAAGCATTAAAATCAATCTCAGAAGGAATTCTGTATTTAGGTCCTTTCAAGAATAAGTTACGAATTCTTTTGTCTGCAATTATATCAAAATTACCAGTGATTATATGGCCAAAATCTGAATTACAGAATTTAGAAGTATTGCAGTCTCAAGTTGTTGGAGTATTAGACTGAATATCTAAGTCAGAAACCACTTTGTTGTAATTAAATATGATATTTCTAACAGGTTTCTTATATTTATAGCAAATAATTGGTATCTCGGAGTTTTTGAAGTATAAAGGAACTGAATTAGTGACACGTTTATCACGAAAAATACTTGGTAAATCGATGAAATCGATACCTTTATTAAGAAAGGTTACTTTTAGGAAATGCCTGTTGTGGTCAGAAGTGTTGTCGATATGAGGTCTTAAGACGTGCTGAGTATAACTTTGAATAAGATAAGCTGCTGTATATAAAGGATCTGTTTGAATAACTATATTATCTGCCTCCGCGTCTAAGATTTTCAGAGATGATAATGAAAGGGAAGTAAGACGTGATAACATTGCATGTTTACCAGAGTTTTTTAAGATAATATTTAAGTCGGTGACAGACAGGGTAATTTTAGATTTACGTTTGATGTTGCCATTTCTACGTACTCCGTGAGATCGGGATTTACGTTTACGAATATTCAGAATAGAAAATATATCAATGTTTGGATCTTTAGAGATGTTACCTTGTTGAAAAATATTGTCATTTAGGCCAAGTGGGAAAGGCGTTTGTAAGTTCTTGATCCATTTTAATTCTGCTAAGTGTCTAACTTTAACTTTAAAACTAGCAGAAGCATCAGAATCGTAAATTATTTGTTCCACTGGTTGAATTGAAACATTTTTAAATGAATGACCATCTTTACGAAAATGTTGATATAGAAAAGTTGTAAATTTTGTGCGATTTCTCATTTTATAAAAATGTTCACGGAATCGAATTTTAAGAGAACGTCCTGTCTGACCAACATACTGTATGCCACACCCAGGGGTGTTTCAAGTTAAAACATAAACAAAATGAGTTGCCTTTCAGTCAATATCTGTATTCAAAATAATATTAAAAGTTCTCCCATTTACATTAGAGGTTATTGTAGACCTGTGCGATAAAAAGTTACAACATCCGCACCTCTTAGAATTACACTTATTAATAGAAGGATACACTCTAGCTCTATGAGGATAATTAGTATTTGTGATATTATATTTCTTAAGAATGGTATGTTTTATAGGAGAAAGCCTAATGCGTAAAGAATTATTGAAAATATTAGAGTTAATGGATCGTGGAATATAAAATGAATTAACAGATGAAAAGTTTAAGGGCGATAGAACGACGGATGGTGTTCGTCTAGGTGTACTGTGATTTCCAATCTGTAAAGAATTAGTAGACGTAGAATGTACCCGAAGAGGTGAAAGAAGCCCTGACTATGCAAATGTTGTATATGTATGCATCAACTTTTATAGGATTCTCATTCTTTGTAATTGATATTTTTTGATGAATGACTATGATATAAACCTACCATTCTAAAAGATATATTTTGTTCACAAATTTTACGAGTGTCCT